AGTAAAATACTGTTAGCAAAGTTAGGAGGTTTTATTTGTTTAACATGATATCCAGTGGTGTAGTGGTGCTCGGACGACTGGGTTTACTCTTTAATTTATGACCCAAAGATTATAAGACTACTCTGGCATATTTAATAATGTGACAGTAGTATTTGCACAACTTCTGCTGCTTGTCAAAAGTCATTATGAAATTAACATTAGCCACAGAAAATGTGCAGATTTTACGATAAATACTGGCCCACAGATGGGTGACATAACAACATTATTATACATTTACAGTGTACGTATTTATTATTCCTTCCACTTGTGAAAATCAGAGAACTGTGTCATGCCTTCGCCATCCTAGGAAAGTGGTGGTGATAGTGGGTATACTACCTGTATACACCTGAGTATACCCTGCACTGCACCACTGCTCTAGTCCCTTATGTATGTGAGTGAAATTACACTATAGTGCTGTACTAATGTGCTCTTATGTTCTTCTACAACCTCAGTGCAGAAGAACTACTTTCAGAATCGAGAGTTCTCCTTCACACTCAAAGACGACATCTACGTCCGCTACCAGTCGTTCAGCACACAGAACGAGCTGGAGAAGGAAATGCAGAAGGTCAATCCTTACAAGATCGACATTGGAGCAATATACAGTCACAGGGTGAGGCTGCATGCATCTGTATTATTTTATTTTTCTCTCAGGTCAGCGCAGACGTGCGGATAAAGTTTCACCTGTTTGTCGTCCACAGCCCAATCAACACAACACCGTGAAGTCAGGAACCTTCCAGGCCCTGGAGAAGGAGTTGGTGTTTGATATCGATATGACCGATTATGACGACGTCAGAAGCTGTTGCAGGTAAATTAATTGTGTGGTTTGTTTGTTAATGGGCTGTTGTTGTACACTGTGGAATAATCCACAAAGTCACATCACTGAGATAATTAAACCTCTTTTAAACTTTAGTGCTGCAGACATTTGCTCAAAGTGCTGGACCCTGATGACCATCGCCATTCGCATCCTGGACAGAGCTCTTCGAGGTTTGTTTCTCATCGATTTTGTTTTAACGTATCTGCTCATGTTATCTTCAATTGTTGGTGTCAAACACTTTTATTTATTATTTAATTTATGTGATATTTCTAGATGACTTTGGTTTCCAGCACCTGCTGTGGGTTTATTCTGGCAGAAGAGGAGTTCATTGCTGGGTGTGTGATGAAGCTGCCAGGAAGCTCTCTGTAGCAGCTCGCTCTGCAGTCGCTGAATACCTCAGCTTGATTAAGGTAACGGTATTTTAGCTTTTATCACATGATTAGGACTGATTATTATTTATTTACCGTGTGTGTGTGTGTGTGTGTGTGTGTTTGTGTGTGTGTGTCAGTTTGTTAATCCAGACTAGTGCCCGATCATTAAATTGGCTGGTACAGTGTGTAGTATGGCTGGAAGGTAGTCACTGAAGCAGAGCGGCAACAATTAGTCAATAAATGTATAGGTTGATCAACAGAAAATGATCTGGTATGATAATCAATTCATCGTTTTAGTAATTTTTCAAGCAATATGTGATTTTTATTTTTATTTTTTTTTGTCATATATAATAGTAAACTTTTAAATAATAAAATAAACTATATGAATACAGCACAAATAAAAACAGAAATTTTTCACTATTTTGTGACATTTTATAGACCAAGTTTTTCATTTATTTAAATAATCTGCAGATTAATCAATAATGATTAATTATTAGCTCGACACCCAACACAAGAATATTTATACTTTTTCTTTTTCCTTCAACTAGATTTGTTTTCAGAAGGAATTAACTAAATGTAGTTAATAACTTTATTTAAATGTTTTAAACAGATTTTGACTCCTTTGGGTAGAAAAACATTCAGTTCATTCTTATGTGATATTTTATTCTCTGCTGTTTTTGTTTTTTTAAAGGGAGGTGAAGAGATGGTGAAGAAAGTTGTGCTGATGGATCCAATTCATCCTTTTATCAGGTAAGAATCAGATCATTTTATTAGCGAAGGTCAGTTTGAAGTGTTTGTTTTGTGATGTTTGTGTCTAACTGACTGTTAATGAGGTTGTAGAGTCTGTTTTAAGAGTCTGTACCTGTAATCAACAGAGAGTCTTTGAATGTGGTGGAGCATTACTTCCCCCGGTACGCACTACAGGATCAGGACATACTGGGCCGCAAGGAATCCGTAGACAAAGTGCTGGCACTTGTGCCTGAAGATATCCTTTTCACAATGCATGGCATGTTTATCTAATGAACACATCCAGCAGAGTTTCAGCTAGTGGAAAAAATGTGCTCTGACGGAGGCCATGAGGCTCAAATGTTAGCATGTTTTTGTGACATGATCCAAATAAATTGGTGTAATTGAGAAGAGTCAGCTCTTTCCTGGAAATCTGTGTGTGTGCTACCTTTTTAAGATGTGTTTCACCATGCAGACACCTTGTGAAAATAACCGGACTTGACCTTAACTCACTGCTTACATGTAAGAAAAGAATTACAGCAGGACTTCCAGAACGCGAAGAAACCAGAGACCCGGTGGAAATTGATCAAGGAACAAGCCAAAAGGAAACAGGTTTGTAATTCTGCTCTCATTACATAATGACATTGTTTAACCTTTGATTGATTTTTTTATTTTTTTTTAACATTACAGAAAGAGGTCTGACACAATCATATAATCTTTCTTCCTCCAGGGCACTGCCAAGAAGGGCCAATACTTTGAGAAGGAAATCATGCTGCAGTATTGTTACCCCCGGCTCGATGTGAACGTCAGTAAAGGGGTGAACCACTTGCTGAAGAGCCCCTTCAGTGTCCATCCTAAAACAGGTGAGTGTGGATCTGATGAGATTTAATCAGGATGATATAATGAATACACTGTGACTTCTCTCTTTCCACCTCTGACCAGGACGCATTTCTGTCCCCATGGACCTCAAAGAATTGGATACGTTTGATCCCTTTGCTGTGCCCACAATCAGGTAAACAATAATTTAAGGCCTCCTGCTCTTCAGTGTAGTTCAGTGTTTGATACCCGTTAGAGCTGATGTTGTAACCTTTTTTTTAAGTTTGATCTGTGAGGAGCTGGATCGACCACGGACAGGCGAAGAGGAGGAGAAGTCTGAGGAGGAGAAGCCCGAGGACGTCAAGGAGAAGGAAAATGAGAAGGATACAGCAGAAAGACGAAAGATCAGAGGTGAAATTCTAAAATATGAATTATCTTTGACTTTCAAAGTTATAAGTAGGTCAACACGATGTAATCTGACAGTTTTTCCTGCCACAAAATGAGGCAAATGTGGTACATCAACCAAAATGTGCTTAACTTAATATAAATTTAAGCATATGGCAGGTACTGAACAGATATTGGGCTCTTTTATAATAATAATTATTGTGCCCACTTCACCACCATGAGAACCAATAAATATTTTAGTTTATCACTTCAACTCACAGATTACTTTTCTTCACAGATTTCAAAAGAACAAGTCTGGCGAAGTACGTGAAATACTTTGATCAGTTTCTGGATGGGATGGCTGGTTCGCGGAAAGGAGATCTTCTCAGGAAAAGTGGTACGTTTTATTCTTAGCAGGTTAAATGAGGGCAGATTGATTTCAGTGGTTTGTTCTTTCGTGTAATCAATTTATCCTTGTTTCCTTTTTAGATCTTCAGAAAGAATTCTGAAGTGGATCAACAATCAGAAAGATACAAGAAGAGGCTGTTGGTGTGCAAACTGTCGTCAACAATAACAACTCCCTGTGTTATTTTACTCTAATGAGACTCTGCAATAATACATTCATAAATAAACAGAAATCATCTCCTTACTGTAGGATTTTCACAGTACAATGCCAGTTTTCATGTTGTTTGTCTGCTTGTTGCCTACTTTTTGTTTTTGTACAGTCATTTGTGAAAATAAATTTGGTATTTCAACTCTTTTAAAAATCTTGTATGTCAGTTATTTTTTTTACAAGAACAGAAAATGTGAGTTAAGTTATCTGGAATAGTAAGACACACACACACACACACACACACACACACATAGGGCTCAGGTTCATCAGAACGAATTACATTGGCAATAATCACAAATACAGCAGGAAAGTGAAAATACTTCATTACAAGTAAAACTCCTGCCTTCAAAATGTTACATAAAAGTACTTAAGTAGTACGTCATACTGTAACAGAAGTAAAACTACTAATAATGACACATTAGCATATATTATTGGATTGTTTTTAATGGTCAAGCAGTATTTTACTGTGGTAGTTTGGTCAAGGTGGAGATAATTCTTTGTACCCTGCTGGGAGGTTTCATCTGTAACAGTTCATATTTAAATCAGCTGATCTGAGAAGTAATTATTATTATTATCAATAATCATTCAGCCACGTGGCTCCTCGACGCCACAGTACCTTCTATCTCCGCTGATTGGGACTTTGAACCACACACCACTCAGTCAAGAACATCACTGATTTTGCACATTTACTTAATAACAGGGTTATTATATTCTATTTATGGTATATAGTGTTTATATTTTGTTGTATTTTATTCAGCTTTCTTTATTCTTTGAACTAGACTCTTTGAATTTCCCCTACAAGAGGAGGAACATCTTATCGTATTACAGCTGTCACATAAATGCAGTGGAGTAAATATATTTATAAATATAAAAATATATTCCCATTGAAATTTAGTGGAGTAATAATAATAACAGCAATATCAGCCACCTATAACCAGTCATTTGTTGAGTTACAGGTAAAAGAAGAAGAAGAAAAAGGTTACATAAAATGAACATTTACAGTAGAAAACAATCATAATTAGATATAACTATAATTTGTTATTGTGTTGTTTTTATTACCTTTTCCTTTTTAAACTTATGTGAAGTGTCTTTGAGTTTCTTGAAAAGTGCTCTATAAATCAAGTGTATTATTAATATTATTATAATTTAAAATAATAATAATAAAAGTCCTTAATAATGTACTGTATATTGATCTGACCCAAATAAAATAAAATCACACACTGGCCCTTTAAATAACCCGGAAGTAGATATGACAGCTCTAAACCGGATATTACGCCGCAACCGGGGGTCAGAAGTTCTCTCTTACAGCCATCTTGGATATAGCATCCCGAGTCGGTGAGTGTCTCCGCCGATAATCCAACATCATCCAACCATTTATCACATATTCCCGTCTCTACCGAGGCGTTCATGTGTCACGGTGAAGTAGTGTCGCCCCGCCGATACAACTATTGATCCTCTGTGGCCCCGCGGTCCAGCGATAAACGCCCCGTTGTGTCACCGATTACCGGCTCAAAATGGGGGAACATCATGACTACCAGTTGACCAGCCGCCTGTCAGGGCCGCTTGTCAACTTTTGTCGTCTATATTTTTACAATTACAAGCCGAGTGTGTGAATTGTGCCAGCGTTATTGATCCGCTGTTATCCTGAATTACTCTCCGTGTTAATTAATTAAACTTGAGTTAACTGTTCACCGTTCACGGGCTCCGTCTTCCTCCCCAGCAACCATGCCTGGTGAAGCCACAGAAACGGTCCCAGTCACCGAGCAGGAGATGCAGCAGCCTCAAGTGGAGACTGGTTCGTATGTTTTTAACTTCACTTTAAAAACGTGCATGTTGTTATTATACTGGATATTTAAACATTTGTGGGGGGGGGGAAGGGGGGTCCCCTGGAACTCAATGAACATGGGTATAGTTCAACAAATGACCGTCTGTGGAGGGTGATTTGTTGAGCAGAGGGGATACACTATTGTGTGTTTGATTTATTTATTTTTTTGGGGGGTGGGGGGGTTGGTTATTTGGTTTCAAGAGTGTTGACTCAGCTGGCTGGACCCCTGAGTTGGTGTAACAGGTGACAGTTATCGACTGTCAGCAGCCATGTGTTGGGATTTTAAGTGATATATTTTGGGTTGGGTTGAAAAGAGTAATCCAGGGCCCCTCTTTTTTTTTATTTTTATTTATTTACACAATCTCACAATGGTGTGTGTGTGTGGTGACTTGCACTGACTACTGGATTTAGCACACAATGCATGATTTTGGGTGTTTGTGCACTAAACACGCCTTGAAGAACCGACCGTGTGTGGATTGATAGTAGCCGTGTTAGTGATTTTACAGATCAATGTGTGGTACGTATTATTTAAGTCTGACCATAGAAAACCTATTGTAGGATGTGGTGTTTTCCCTTTTTTCAGCTAGCAATAAATGTTTTCAACACTTGTATTTGATGCCTGCGTCAAAATATAGGTTAATAGTTGTGGACATCTTTTCAAAGATCTCAGGTAGCACATTGTACATGGTGGTCTTTTGACCAAAAACGAGGTAATAACTGTATAATAAAGAGAAGAATGGGTTTTGTCTAGTGTCAATGTTGGTGTTTGAGTTAGTGTTACATGAAGGGGTCACAACTGTTCATAAATTGACACAATTCTCCAATTTCATATTACTACACACATGTTCTTATACATTTTCTGAGCGTTACTTTTCTTCTTCTAGACATGGTCTGTAAGTGGGTGGAGATGTTTGTTCAGGGGTGGGGCAGGAACCTCTATAACTGATCAGTTGCAGCTAGAACCAGAGGAACACGCAGGAACATGCTATCTCATCAGTCAGTCGTAGATATCCCCATGCAACCAAATGTGTAATATCAAGATGATTCAGTAACATGCACTGCACTGTAAATGAACTGTTGGACGCTATCATCAAACTGCACTGCATTTGTGTTGAAATAGTTTCCCACCTTCACTTAATGTGTGTGTGCTGCACAAAAGTAGACTATCGAATAGAGCAACCGATAATCAATGACTTTAAACTTATTTAACTCAAAGGGAAGTTTTCACTGTTCTGAGGCTTCAAACATACAGTAAAAAGATGACAAGCAATCCTTTTAGTGCTCATTTATATCAGTTTGTTTCTGAACCCAAAAGACTAACGAATCTAATTGAATATGTATAACACCTCTTTTTGATCATTGCTCAACCCATGGCATTGAGCTGTACTGAAAGAGCGGATTTATGTTTTTAACTTCAGTAAATCTGTTTTAAAAATCTGTTAAAACTTAATTGACTGACTTTTATTTACAGTAAGCTACAATTTAATTATCTTGAGCAGTGAAAGTTTGATTTGTACAGTCTTGAGTAGAGGTTCTTGTGAGTGTTTGTCCAGCAGTTCTTTTCTCTTAAGCTATTCAGGGCACTGGTAAAATAATCATAGCAGTGGTAACTGTGTGCACTTATTTGGGGGTTAATGTCACGTTATCTGTGCAAAAGCAAACTCCAAAGACGACGACAAAGACTCCAGAGCAGTTCAGATAAAAGTTTTAGAGGAAAGGACTTCTCATTTCACTAAAAGTGTGCGTATACGACTCAATAAGGGCAAGTTTTGGGTCTATTGTTTCATAGGAACGTTTGTGTTGCTTTAATGTTGCACATCCCTCTATTAGTGCCAACAATGTACTCATCTTTGGAAAAAAAGGCCTATGAAAACGGATTGCAAAATTATTTAAGTTAATTATTTGGAAGTAATGACTCCATATAAACTTTGCCATGAAGCAGTACAATAATGTACACATACTGAGCTGTCAAATCTAGGGTGGTGGTTAGATTCATAGCTTATTTTCATGCATTGTCTGCTTTTTTTTGGAATAAAGGAGGTCTCCTGACACTTAACACCTAACCACTGCATGGAGTTTGGGACACTGGAATCTTTAAGTGCACTTAACACCTCCCCTTCTTTTTATATTGGCAAACCAAAGCCAGTTCACTGAACTTTTCACACACTCAGCGTTTCTATTCACGTGTGGAGCACAATTTCTTTTTCACTTCAGTGTATTCATGAAGCTCTTCAAACTTGTGTTGAAGTAAACTGCTTCCCAAACAACTACTGTATATTTCCTTTTCCCCCCTCTTACTCCTACTGATTTTCCTTTATCAGCTGCAGAAGTATCGAATTCTGCTGCTGCTTCTGAGATGGCTGTTCCTACAGTGAGCAAGGCAATCGCTCTGGAGAATCCTCCAGAAACTCCTGTTCCTGCTCAAGAGATAAGCTCTCCAGAAGCCGTTAGCGTTCAGACTAGTGATCAAGCAAATGGTGTAGCTGCGACTCAGGAAACGACCAAGCAAACAGAAGAGATTGGGTTGGTGGCAACACCTGTCTCGCAGCAAGAGGCAACTGCTGACCAAGCAGGGGATTCAGCTGGTCCCCCAGTTCCTGAAGAGTCTGTGTCTTCTTCTGAGGCTCCTGTTGCGACCTCAAAAGAGCCACAAGCTGAAGAACAAGCAGCTCCAACTACACAGGCACAAAGTCAGGAGTCAGTTGGTGCTGAAGAACAAGCAGCTCCAACTACACAGGCACAAAGTCCGGAGTCAGTTGGTGCTGCAGAAGATTCGGCCAGGCGGGAGGTTGAGCATATTTCTGTTGAAGCAAAGACCTCTGGAGATGAGCCCGAAGCAGTGGCAGAAAAAGTCCTTGATGATCCAAAACCATGTGCTCCTGAAGACGTCAGTTTGAGAAGTGAAGCTGGGAAGGCAACTGAATCCCCAAAGACTGCGGTCGAAGACGCGAAGAATCTGAATGTCAACCTGCCTACTCAAAAAGAAAGTCCTGACAAGGAAGAACCTGTTATACTTCTCTCAAAGGCCATTCAATCAAAGGGGACCTCCAAATGCGAAGGCCCAACTCTTTCCACACACCACCTGTCAGGTTGGTTTATCCTCTGTGAAAAGCAGCCAACCCTGTACCCCCACCTTTTTATCCCGGTCTTTTAAGTTCACCTTTATGATCTGGTTGGGTGTGTATAATGTGGTAACGTGAGTGGTACAAGTTCAAATGGAAAAAGGGTTTAATGTTTTCCCTACAGTGTAGTCCCGGTGGTATTTTGAAGTGAGAAAGTTTCTGAAATTGCTTACGGCCTTTTTTTTTTTTTTTTTTTGTCAGGGTGGGTCATGACTTGTTAATTGACTGGTTATCATTCTTTTAATTTCACCTCTGTGGCCAGTTGTCAGTTCTAACTCAAAGCACCAGTTCAGCGGTGCAATAGCAGGTGCATTTATGCACTTGTTGCGTCTCTGTAGGGTAGCCGTTGCTATGTGCAAGTGCAATATTTCATCAGGTGGTGATGTAATATTGCAAATATGACTTTGTCCTAAGTGCATCTTGACTAAATTATAAAATGCGGTTTTCTGTGTGGAAGTAGTATGTACTGTGCATTTTCGAGTGGCAAGTTGCATCAAACTCATCAAAGTTAGGCAGGTGTGTCCTTTTCCTAACCCTAAACAAGAAAACTGCGTCTTGGTTTGTGATAGTTTAACCCGCATGAGTAAGACCCATATCCCGTCCAAATATTTTAAAGAATGTTTTTCTATTCAGCTACACCTCCTGCCCCAGCTTCCTCCCAGCACCCTCAGGCAGCTTCTGGCCCTGCAAAGCCAAAAGGCAAAGATGCCAAGAGTGCGCAGGGTTCCTCTGCCCCAAAGGCTGTTCCTGGCAGAAGAAAACGCTCTTCTATGTCTGCCTCTTCCTCTTCTCCCACCTCACCAAAATCTACTACCTCCACCCCCCTGTCACCTGTGCCATCTCCCCTAGCTTCCACACCTGGCAGTTCTCCTGCTAATCGTTTCACCCCAAAAGTTGTCAAGGCTGGCAAACAAGGAAAAGCTAAGAAAGGAGAGGCATTTGAGCCTGCTCCTGCCCCTGCAGAGTGCAAGGTCACAGCAACAACTGAAAAACCAGTAGAAGCTAACCCCAAGCCGACTGTAGTTGAAGCTAAACCTGCCCCAGTTGAAACCGTCAAACCCTCACCGGCTGCTCCAAAGCCTGTTGCAGCCCCAGCTGCTTTTAAAGTTACATCAAAGCCTGCTGTTGCAGCTCCAGTTTCATTCTTAGATACTATTGCTTCTAGCCCTCCCAAATCCGTTGAAATGAAGACCTCAAAAACTGCTCCTGTTACTGCAGTTGCCGAGGATGATCTCCCCCCACTTATCCCACCTGAGAAGCCAATAACAATGCCAATATTTGTACCCCCTGTTGAGAAAGAGGGTGTTAAACTTGGTACGTCTCCTAAACCTTGTTATGAACCATCAAATCTAGAGGTTACTAAAGTAGCACCCAAACTCAAGATGGATATTGAGCCCAAGTCTGTGCCTGTTGAGCTTGCCAAAGCAGCAGCCGCAGTAAAATCTGCTCCTGCTGAAGTTGCTAAACCAGCAGTTGTTGAGGCTGCTAAACCAGCAGTTGTTGAGGCTGCTAAACCAGCAGTTGTTGAGGCTGCTAAACCAGCTCCCGTTGAGGCTGCTAAACCAGCAGTTGTTGAGGCTGCTAAACCAGCAGTTGTTGAGGCTGCTAAACCAGCTCCCGTTGAGGCTGCTAAACCAGCTCCCGTTGAGGCTGCTAAACCAGCTCCCGTTGAGGCTGCTAAACCAGCAGCTGTTGAGGCTGCTAAACCAGCTCCCGTTGAAGCTCCTAAACCTGCTTCTGTTGAGGTTGCTAAACCAGCAGTTGTTGAAGTGTCTAAACCAGCAGTTAAGGCTGCTAAACCTGCTCCCATTGAGGCTGTTAAGCCAGCTTCTGAGGCCAAACCTGCTCCTGTTAAAGCAGTTGTTGAGGCCAAACCTGCCCCTGTTGAGGCTGCTAAACCAGCTGCTGAGGCCAAACCTGCCCCTCCCAAGATTGTAAAGCCAGAGGCCGAGGTCAAGTCTGCCCCTGTTGAGGTTAAGCCAGCTGCAGAACCTAAACCAGCTGTTGCTGAGGTTACCAAGCCAGCCCCTGTGAAGAGCGCTGGGCCAGTTACTGAGCCTAAATTGGTTGAGGTTAAGGCAGCACCTGCTGAGATTGCCATGCCTTCCAAACCAGCAGCTGAGCCCACATCTGCCCCCGTAAAACCTGCTCCAGTCGAGCCCGCCATTCCTGCCCCTGCTCCCCGTAAACTGACATTTGCTGAGGCAGTTGCGACACCTGTTAAACCTAAGGTTGAGGTAATCAGTACTCCTGAACCCGTCTCATCACCCAAACCTGCTAAAACCCCAGCCAAGGTGGAGCCTGTGATCAAGAACGACAAGGGTATTTTCTTCTTTCTCTCTTTTGTCTTCATCTGTTTTTTTCCAACTTTGATGGCGTTCTGGTAAACTGCTCAGATGCTTAGATATGTCGTTCAAAAGAACCAGGTTGTGAAGAACATTAGTTTTGCTTTAAGTTTTGTTTCAAGATGCTGCCTAGTTGTTCACATGGATTCTCCTGTCAGCTCTGATGTCGCATACTGTCAGCCATGTTGTGCAGTTTCATTTGTGCGATCATATGTCTAATGGTCAGTTTTTATATTTAGTGAGTGAAAATATCGTGTCAGACTGGTAAATTTGATATTGGGAAGGAAGGTATTGTTTTCAACATCTTTAAAGTACTCTGTAGTTTAGATTTTAAGTTAACAAGCTCTAATGGGTGACCCTTTTTACAACACCACAAGTTAATGGTGGTTGCAGTTTTTTGTTAACCAGCGCGTTTACTTGAAATGTTCATTGGTTAGGTGGATGTAGGTTATCTCAGGTAACAGAGATACTGTAGAATTACAATTAACCTGCCTATTTTCATTCCCCAGGAGTGATGCAGCACATTTTCATTATAACTTTGGTTGTGCAAATATGTAATAGGTGGCATGTAGTGACGATATTTCTGTTGTTGGTTTTTCTAGGATCCGGCACAGAGTCAGACAGCGATGACTCAGTCCCTGAATTGGAGGAACAGGACTCTGCACAGACACAGACACAGCAAGCTCAGGTGGGACTTCAGTCTGGTCTCGTGTCTTTGTTCCCTGTTGTCTTGAACTGAAACAGAAAGGAGCATTACAACATCTGCTGCTTTTGTAAAACAATTCATACGGATGTTGGTTGTCCTTTACTCTTCTGTGATGATTAACACAGTGACTTTCGTTCTTCTGAGTCTCCTGAAGCCAGCTTTCTGTCCTGAGAAGAGAAAATGTTTACACAATGACTAGCATTGCAATTTCTGTCAGTTCATATTCAAACTATCCTAATTCCTTGGTCTACATTTAATTGTTGACATAAAATGTGGATGAATATTCTGTGCCTCACAGCTTGCAGCAGCTGCCGAAATAGACGAGGAACCTGTCAGCAAAGCCAAACAGAGCCGCAGTGAAAAGAAGGCACGAAAGGTAACGGTCTTAATTTATAACTCATGTAATAAGCAGGTGTCTGTTCTCGCTCAGAATTGGCCACATTTGTAAAAATAACTTGTATTTCTCGCAGGCAATGTCAAAGCTGGGTCTCAGGCAGGTAACAGGGGTCACCAGGGTTACCATTCGCAAGTCAAAGAACATCTTGTTCGTTATTACCAAACCAGACGTCTACAAGAGCCCCGCATCAGACACATACATCGTCTTCGGTGAAGCTAAGGTACGTAACCAGGGACGATACTAGCCCCCGTACTCTCGCCCCTGTCTTGTGTAGTCTTAGCTGTTTTAGAAGGCAGCAGAAGGCTCATTCAGGTGTTCAGGTAATGATACTGTGGGGGATGGTCGGGATGGTACAAAATGTCCGCAGCTGAAAGTCGTCTGCCAGATGATTGTGTGTTGATGTTTTTGTTTTACTCTTTGTGCCATAGATCGAAGATCTGTCCCAGCAAGCCCAGCTGGCCGCCGCAGAAAAGTTCAAGGTACAGGGAGAAGCTGTATCAAACATCCAGGAAAACACACAGACGCCAACAGTACAGGAGGAGAGCGAAGAAGAAGAGGTTAGAAGTGTTTTTTTACTCAAGCAAGGGACACATTAATATGCACACTGTTTTATCATGAGCTATCATAACAAATTCCCCTTTTGTTATGTTTTATAGGTTGATGAGACCGGAGTTGAGGTCAAGGACATTGAACTCGTCATGTCACAAGCCAACGTGTCGCGGGCGAAGGCTGTACGCGCCCTGAAAAACAACAACAACGACATTGTCAATGCTATTATGGTAAGATTTCTAGAACTTTTGTTAATGGTGGTAAAATGGTTTGCAGTCTTTGTTCAGCAGGCCAATTAAAAGGTTTGTTTTTATAAATGTGTACACAGAACTCTTCAGTGATGATTAACACAGTGACTTTCGTTCTTCTGAGTTTAATGAAGCCAACATTTCTGTCCTGAGAAGAGAGCAATTCTTTAAATTTTGTAAAAACTACTTTGCACATATGCTAACAAACTTTTTTTTGTTCCCTTTTGCAGGAGTTGACGATGTAATGGGACCCTGGCACTGTAGGGTTGAAGAAAGGTTGCTGATTTAAGCTCGTTTATACAATTTATACCCAAGATGGAAATAAAGTTGTGGCTTGATAAAATGAAATTTTGATGTTTTTGCACTTCATTGAAAAATGAGTGGGGAGACTCTTTGTTGCAGTTTGCTTACAGGGTTGATGGATTTAGTCTGGTCAAGGCAAAGGGTTGGTCAGGTATCGCTAAACAGGGGACTGAACCCTGTTTAGAGATACCTTTTTAGATGTTTCATAGTAAGTCATAGACATGAAACAAGGAGCAACAACTACACAGGTTGTGAATAGTAACCACCGGTTTGATCTCGGTGTGTATTTATTTTATAGTCATATTTTCCTGAAAGTTAATTACTTACTGTCAGGTAAATGTAGTTGAGTACAAAGTACAATATTTCCCCTGACATGTAGTACAGTAGAAATAAAGTACGAATACCTCAAAATTATACTTTCTTGTGGAATGCTTTACCACTTGTAGCGCTATGGAGTTTTTCTATTAGTGGCTCCCCATTTTGTCTTTCCTTCACCAGCATAAACAGACTGCAATGTAGTAAACACAAATGTAAACATTGCTGGATTTCAAATGATTCAAATATTTAAAAAAATATATTTAAATAATTGCTTTGCAAATGTTTTGGAAAAAAGGAAATGCATTCAACACTAAAGGATGAGTACAATGTTTATAACACTAAGATAACCTTTTAGTTTGAGACACTGACTCAGCTTGTTTCAAACTGAATTCTGTGTAAACGTGGCAGCTGCACCGACTCAATTCATCAAGATTCAAATAAAAGTTGAGTAAGACTGAAATGGTCCTTTAGTATGAGTTGAGCTTAAAAGAAATGCATCCTACACATCCCATGGTGCATCTGTTTATTAGACCCCCACATTTCGACTTCTACACCTGCAGTGTGCACCACTGGGTTTCAGTTAAAGCGTGTAATCCCATAATGCATGCTGACAGACTGAGGTGACTTAAATTAGTCTCAGATTTGAACTCCAGAAGGCGCTGTTCTGTACTGCTACTCATCCTTACAGCCACGCAGGAAATGCAACATGCTTACCTCTGATTTCCTCTTAGTATGTTGTTGCACTTGTTTGGGCAGGATAGCCTTGTACTGTATGATTAATATACCGGTATGAGGAGTTCAGTGACCTCATCGGCAGCTACCAGCATGGCACCATTGAACTTCTATCCAATCAGAGAATGACTGAAAACACCTGTGTGGGTGTGCAGGAAGCCAGGACTGCTCATGCCACACCTCTACAAAACCTGCCCTTCTCTAGAGATGGCACAGGTATGCGAGCCTGGATTAATCCATAGGATCTTTACAGTCTGCTCTTGCTTGCAGCTGGATAAGGCACATTTTTGTGTGTTAAACATGAAAAATGGAGCCAAAAAAACATGAAAATAAAGAAATATATGCAATTAAAAGGTGGTGGACCCAGTTAGAAGGGGCATTAACAGCATAAATGTGGCCATGTTGGCGACATAAGGACAAAGTTTGAAGTCCACCTTCACTCTGCAGAATGATGTGTGTGTAGAGTTTGACACCAGAAGGCTGTTTGATCACATTCATCTGCTGAAGGGAGAAAGTCTCTGTGCTCACCTTAAATGTGAATTTATGTACAGAGATGAATTTTTGACATCGCTCCAAATAGTTTGGAAGCCCATCCTGGTCAAATATGCAACTTCCAGTGCACATACACTGAGAATGGACCCTTCAGAGACACCTTGTGTCTGAGGTTATAAGAATAAACGTACGAGTTGTTTATTTATTTGTGTCTGAGAAGATCTCTGGAGGGGATGTGTAACCATATAAAGGGGACATTTGTTCACCAAAGGAGGCTGTTAAATGTCTATTTCATTTACTCACTTCACCTAAAATCACTGGAAGGTGTCATTGTGATGTTTTAACCATCCATAATTAACTAAGATGTGAACTTTAGAATGAAAAACAGCTTTTAATAGTATTGTTTTTTTTTTTAAGAGCTGAAATGTTTTTTTTATTCACAATTCACAGCTATTATATCATAGTTACAAATATTAGATTTTTAAAAATTATATTTACTATTGTTTGTTGTTTGAACAACACAATTATAAGTTAAATTATAAAGGGCCAGTTATTTTACATTTTATAAACCAAATTATAAACGTGGAGATTAATCGATAATGAAACTAAACCTTTTTTTTTTATTATTATCATCATTATCACAGCGTCCCTTTGTGTTTCTCCCTAACCCCACCAGTCTTAATCTAAATGTGTCTGTGTGTGTGTGAGCCGATCATACTGGGTGGTACAGACACACCGTAGCAGATCGCATTAAATTTGATCCACAGCAGATTATATACGCTGCCCTCCTTCCCTTCCCTTCACATCACCCGCAGCTGTGGCTGGAAGAAATAAAAAAAGCTCTAGAAACGTCTAGTACGCTCAACTGCGTCAGCGTCGCCATTCTCGACCAGGGATACGCAGGAAGATCCGGAGCAGAGTCCACAGGCGGAGCATTGGTTGTTTGTGGGCAGCGGTCCTTGTGTTTTTCTTTGCAGGCATTACCGTTACCGATCATTTCACCAGACCTAGTTTTATCTGCGTTAACCAAACAAAAAAAAAAAAAAAAAAAAAAAGGGAGGCTCACTTCACGCCAAGACATGTAAGTTGTGGGAGAGTTAACACGAGTAGGGGGGGGTTACGGTGGTATGAAAGAAAGAAGGAAGGAAAAGAGAGAGAGAGAGAGGAAAGTGTGGATAGTACAACCTGCTTGAGTAGCTAGCGTTAGCCGTGTGACAACATGCGTTTTCAAAGGCGGGAGGTCGGCCTTGTCTCTGTGGACCGTAAGCTAACGGTGCCCCGCCAACTAGCTGGGACCCTTTATACAGTGGCTAAAAGAACACAATGTACTGGTCCAGTTGTTGTAGCAGACCCCAGTGGCCCAGCATTGGCCTCCAAACACGGCTACTTGTACCGAAGGGATGGGTCAGGCGCACCGCATGGATAACCAGCGTTAGCGGCTAGCGTTGTTAGCTTAGCAGGCTGGGGTGTTCATTGAAAGAGTTCGTCTAGAAAAAGCGACCATTAGATTAACATGAGGTCTGTGTTAGAAGTCGTGATTTATTTTTTTTTAACATTAGGGAAAACGATGCAGATCCTGTGTGTAAAAAAAAAAAATATATATATATATATATATATATACCAAAAATGTATCAATAGGGAGTGGCTCGATCGGCAAAGTTAAAGAGGTTTATCTGGTTGTAACATTGAACGCTGCCTTGGTTGGTCCACCATCCATTTGTAAGAGGATTTGGTGAAGGAGACCATGCGTCTAATGCCAAGTGGAGTATAGTGTCAGTAAATATGCAGATGGGAGAAATTGCAGCTTTCATATGCAGATATTAACGTATCAATAAATAGAGGTCAGTGAGTCGTTATTGATTAGTTGTAACCACTGATGTAATGTTTGCAGTGTCACTCACTGATGGAGGTAATGTTAAGTTTGTTGTAATAGGTAAACAATAAAACATAATTTAATACTTTATTATTATTATTATTATTATTTCCACTTAAATAAGGTTGATATTGATTCTTCCCTGTTCTTCTCTCATAACTACACCCAGGGAATTAAATTGATCTCTGAAGCTACCACACGAGTGGGCCGTCTCACCCATGACTTTGTCAAATTTTAAATCGAGCATCATTGATGAACTCTTGCTGCTACAAGAGGAAACCCATTACATTACCATTAATCATATATAATGAAACACGAGCTGAACTCGCCCCAAAACATCTTTTTTTAGTATTTGACTTTTTAACAATTTAGTGTGCACAGATGTTTCACTTTTGAGGCTTCTTGATACAGGAGCGCATGGTGTAACTGGATGCTGTGTGGCAACCTGATAGGCTTTTTGATGGCAGGCTGTTGTGCCTGAAGACTTACCCACTTGTCCGCAGCACAGCTGACCTGCATTATGTATTTTTTATGCAAGTTTAGGGTCTGATGCGCTGTGCTGTTAACAAATAGGTGCGAGAGGAATTTTATTGTTTTTGTGTTTAACCGGATTGTAACGTTTTGTTTAAAGTTTTCTCACAAGGTACCAAGAGCTGTACTTTGAATGGGCATGGTGAATTAAGACTCAGTTTGTCTAGAAAACTATTTACCCTCAAGTTCTGACTGTTAACATGTTTAATGTTTTGATGTCCTTTTGTTTCTTCACAGGCATCCAGCAACTGCAAAGTGGTACGATAGGAGGGACTGTGTTTTTATAGAGTTCTGTGTAGCAGACAGCAAAGATGTTAAAATCAGTTTTGATAAAACAAAGTTTGGTTTCAGGTACGTTTTCCTCAAGTTGGTTCTTTTGTTAAGACCTCAAGTTGTATTTAACCATGATTTTTTTTTTTGTTGAATCTCTAATTATTGGTTAGTAATCCTTGTTTGTTTTATTCTTCCCAGAAATTGGTTAATAAGTATAATTTTCTTTTTTCCACAGTTGTCTTGGAGGAACCGACAATGTCAAACATGAGAATGAAGTAGACCTTTTTGAAGCCATTGATGAAAATGTAAGTCACACCGAATATCTGAATCGTTTCTTATGTTAATAACACTTAAGAGCTGAAATTAACTGATTTTCTTTCTACTTCAATGCAGGAATCCAAACACAAACGTACAGATCGCTCAGTGTTGTGCTATTTACGAAAAGCACAGCCAGGGAAGGCATGGCCGAGGCTAACAAAAGAAAAGGCTAAGGTCAGTTAAACACAAGCTAACACTGTCATTACATTTGAAAACAGTTAACAGTACAATACTCTCAATTAATGCACAACGTCACAATGTCATAAAATGCTATTGTTTAAATGCATTAAATCGCTATTAATGAGTGAAGTGGATTTTGTGTTTTCACAGCTGAGTTGGCTCAGTGTCGACTTCAACAACTGGAAAGACTGGGAGGATGACTCAGATGAGGAGATGGGCAACTTCGATCAATTCTCAGATGTAAGCGTTATGCATTGATAAGTCTGGGTGAAGTCATTCATAATAGCTTTAATCCCATCGGTCAACGTTGCAAACAGGCCCACCCAAAAACACCCACATGGCATTTGGCCAAGGGCCACAGTGTAAGCTTAAAACAATGCAGGTAGAAGTCAGTATTATGTAATATAATAGGGGTGCTAAGGCCAAATTTGATCGAGCTGTCAGTTTCAATCATCGAAATCAAAAGCCACATTACGGCTGACTACATTAACTTAATTTGCATGCACTTGTCTGTGGCTGCAGCAACATGCTGGCACCGGGAGAGACTCACTTCTCACAACAAACTATATCACATAGGGTAATATAATATCACATAGGGCTTAAAAGGGGGGCTGGTGGCTTTTTGCAGGTGAAAAAGGTGTAAAACTGTTGTTGTAAAGTACCCGTCTGTCATCAAGTGACTCTTTTTGCTTTTGTGTTTAGCAGTTTGTTCCCAATTGACTGATGAAATAAGTAATTATTAAACACTTGATACCATATAGCCTATTATTTTAAAGAAGAATTCAAAGGTGCAAATGACCTTGATTTATCTTTACAAATTAAGACTCAAAAGTACTGAAAAATAAGTTTAAACTTAAATATGACCTTAAACAAAAGTCAAATCAAATTGTGGATAACTGTGACGCCCCTAGAATATAATAATTTCTATTAATAAAAAAAAATTCCATGGAAAATGTAGCATGAGCTCCCTACAAGTGTTTTCCTGTTGTTATTGAATACAGTACAGTGTTTCCTCTAGGATTTTTTTTAGCAGCGGCAGCAGGCCCATCCAAAATTGCAATGTGAGCGGCAGCCAACGGGGGTGCATTATGTCGGCAGGATCATTTAAAAGGCAACCGTGACTACATTGTGCGACTGCCCCATTTCTGATACCGTGGCGGCAGAAATTTAACAGCAGCGGGCCGCCGCTCCAAAATCAACATAGAGGAAACACTGCAGTAAAATGTGAAAATTTGACTATACAGTTCTGCAAAGAGGAACAATTGGCCACTGTAGCCTTATTCTCAAACACACAACTCTGCCCTGTCATTTCATCTGTAATTGAATCATTCTGTGTGCCACCTTGACAATTTGGATCTGAACATATTAATCAAACTTAAACTGGGGGAAAAAACCTTAATTTTCCACAATTATCCTACTTTGAGCACTCCATATTTGTCTTTTGTCTTATAATTTAATTAAATGAGTACTTAAGAAGAGTAAATGTGGCTTTAAAAGTTTTGGTTTCATTTTACAGATGATGAACAACATGGGAGGGGAGGATGACCTACCTGATCTAGATGATGCAGTAAGATATTCTTTTCCTTTCACTTCATTTTTTTTAGCATTAAAGGTCCGGTGTTTAGGAGGAACTATTGTCAGAAATTGAATATTATATTCTATGTTTTCATGAGTGCATAATCACCTGAAAATCAGAATTGTTTTTGTTTTGTTAGAATGAGCCAGTCTGTAACTTCTCAGCTAGATGCCACTGAGTCCTAAACACTGATCCTTACATACACAACGAAAACGGATCATAAAGCAGATGTTAATCAGTGGCAGGAGCTGTTTAAGGCTGTCGTCTAATCTCCTGTTTTTTGTCTTCTTAGGACGAGTCTGCAGATAGCGATGATGAAAGTAAGTATTTATGAGCCTTTTGTAACCAAACCAATTAAAACTGTAAATAATGTCTGCCATTTATGATAATTAGGTTTGTTGTGATGTAAGTTTTAATGTTATTTCTGTTCAACTTCACTTTTCAGAAATGCCAGACTTGGAATAGAAAGCTGCAAGACTCTGGAAAGAAAATGGAAGAACAGAGGGCAAGAGGAATCCTAACAAATGTATATCTTGACATTGAAGGCAGTGACAAACAACTGTACATATGAGTCAGTAGCCATATTTAAATCCATAGCCTCAGCTCCAAACTCTTGACCGATCAGTCCACTGAAGGTTGATATGCATGGTATTGTACAGAGCAGCTATCTCCACTTCCATTTGCTGTACTGCACCTTTTTTGGGTATCTTGTTTTACTGTTAAATATTACAAGTAAGCACACATTATTTGTTGGAAAAAAAAGCTGTGTAGTTGTCCTCAACTGAGCAATACGTGTTAAGAGATTTACAATTTGTTTTCAAAAGAATTGTTGTTTAAAATGATTAGGCCCACCCATTCCCAATGTTGTGGTTTTAAGTTAGTCGACCAGTGTAGTTGGTTTCATGATTTGAAGAAGACACTAGCTATGTACATCAACAGAATTAGATGCATTTACTGATTGGGTTCCTCTAAAGCCTTCCATGTGCCGTGAATTAGATATCCAGGAAGCCAGTTTTTTTTTTTTTGTTTCTGTGGCTTAACCTTCCAGCATACATGTTTTCCCTCCTTCACTTCTTGTTTAATGTTTGTAAAAAATTGGAATATTCTGAAATCATTGCAGAAATATTTGCATCTTCCCAGTTATCGCCTACTTTGGTAATCTGAATGAATTCCACATATATTTAGTATCTTTAACAGCTCTTCTCTCCATACCCACTTAACATGCACACTCATGTTTGACTGCAGAAGCAAGGTGAAATGTTTTGCAGCTGATAATGAGGCTCGAAGCTTGGTCGGGCCTCAGCATTATGTGGTTTGTTGCTATCCTCCAGGTTGTTTCTGTTTGTTCATCTAGAATGATCCTCCCTTGTCGTTGAGGGAGTGTCGGGATGGTAGGCGACGTGTAATGACCAAATTATATTTGCACTGTCAATAAAATGTACGGGGAGACAAAATGACGTTGAATTACAGTGGAAATTCTTTTTTTATTGTCTACATCTTTCTAATAAACTGTTCAAGAATCATTTTTAATGCCTTTTTTCTTAAATAACATTTGACTTGTGTTTTATTCATTTTGCCCTTTTTAATACAAAGCTTTTGGTTTGTGAGTTTAATCCCCAAAAATATAATTTTGGACAGTACATGTAATTTGAACCTTACAGATGTAACTTGTTATGTACTTGACAACATCTTCCTCAGTAAACTTACTTTTGCTGAAATATAATTTGGTATTTTAGCATTTTATTTAGCAACTACTGCAACACTACAGCAACCTACAGTCATGCTGTAGTGGCACTTTGTTCTCTTAAGTTTTAGACATGATAGATGGGACTTCACAGTAGAGGGATTGTTTGGTATGACTTTCATAATGACGTTTTTAAAGAATAATTCTGCTTCTTTTGTGTTATAAGTAGTTTTTGTCTTGCTGTAGCTCTCGCTGCTGTTTTATTCGGCACTAGGACCCAGACACCTCCAGGCTCCTCGGCCCAGAACATTAGCATACTTCCTCGTCAGGCCTGATTTCCTCACTCTGAGAAGGTGACTGTAATATGCAATACTAGTTTCCTGCTTTAGCCCTGAAGCACATTAAAATAAAAGCGTAGATTTGGCTTTGCATTATCACTAGATACTTTAAGATATGGGTCTGTTATAGCTTTTATTAAAACCTGCTTTCTTAATAATCTAACTTGGGTAAACATTTAATTTAAACTTGTGACCAAACATTAACTCCAAAAGTTACATAAAATACAGACATGAGCTTTAATTGACTCACATTAGTATTAACACAAGTCTTTAACCACTTTTGGGTTTTGTTTAGGGGTTAAGAGTGGTATTATTGGCTACATGTAACAAAATAATTATACTCTACATTTGAGATTATACTTTTTATTCCACTACTTTATTTCACAGTAACTTACATATATAATATATAATAATAATAATATATAATAGGCATAATAAGAGGCGATGCATTATCAGGGTTGAGAGGGTTACTTTAAAAATGTAATCGATGAAATTACTAATTACCTGTTAAAAAATGATCAGTAACCTGTTCCAAATATCTCAATATTAAAGTAATATAACTTGATAACTTTTGTATTATGACAACACCAAATATGCAAATAAAGAAGAGAAAAGAAATATCAATAAGAAGTATTGATAAGTGTATTATATAATACAACAGAACAACCTTTAAAAAGAAAATGGAAAGAGTTTTTCAGTGTATTTTGAAAGAAAATATTGTAATCCTGCTAAATAATCCTGTTTCTTACTATATGTAACTAATCTGATCAGGTTTGTAATGTGTGTTTTTTTTTTTTCTTACAGCTGTAATAGATTACAGTTACCTTTCATTTGTATCCTGATTACGTAACTGAGTTACATGTAATCCGTTACTTCCCTCATTGTTATATATTTAGAAGCAGGTACAACATTAAAAGTGCCATACTAAGTCCATATTAATGCATCAGTAATAACATAATAGTAATAAAAACTTTTTTATATATATATATATATTTTAAGCACAATTTTCTAAAGATATTTTAAACAGTAATAGCAAATTAAAATATACTAATTAATTAATACATTTTTTATTTATTTTTTAATTATTATTATTATTGTTGTTGTTGGTGATTTTCTTGTGAAGTTTCCTGAATAAATGTGACCGGATGTGTACGTGGTTGTGGCCGGGACATTGACACCGCTACTGCTCGCTCTGTTCTGTGATCATGGCTGCACTGGACCACACCAGCCATGTTTGCTAATTTAAAACCCAAAGGTTAGGTTAGGGGGGGAATTAGTTGTTTTATAATTTACCGCTGTGCCATCTTCACCCGCATATCCGCTGTTTATACGAAGGTTTAGAGGCATCCGCGACTTCGACAACAAAAAAAAAAACATCCAAGGAACTAAAAAAAAAAAAAAAAAGGTTGGATAAGCTTTAAATATAACGAGAGAAACTTTTGATGGTGGTGGTAGTGGAAGGGGGTGGAAGATGATGCTCCACAACAACAAAAAAAAAAACAACAACAACAAAAAAATGTGTGTTTGTGTGCGTGCAGCGTAAACAATGTAACTTCATCTGGCTGCTAGCTAACGTTAGCTCCCCCCCCCTTCGTTGAACAAAAGGCAGCACGCCTCCCATCTGCTAACAAGCGGATCTGAGTGACTTAACGTGTATTTTCACTATCAACACACACCGGCTGGTTATTTTTTATATTCTTCATCCGCGGCACCTCCTCTCCTCCTCCTCCTCCTCCTCCGACGGGCGTCATGGATCCAAACCAGCGTGGTTGCGGTACCTGCTACCTGGCTAACAGCTAACATCGCAGCTTAAGCGCCGTAGCGTCTCTTACTCTGGGTAAACGTTAAGGATGCTATCAGTTAGCTGTGTTAGTGTGTGTGTGTGTGTGTGTGTGAGGGAGAGCTAGGTTGTATTGTGATGATTTAGCTTAAATAACCTTGGATCTAGGAGCGGGGGAGTGTTTCTGTGTCTCTCGGGGGGGACGTGAAAGGTCCGTACAGGCTGTTTTATCCCAGCGTCCCGGACGGTAACGGTACCAGTTGTTAGCACAGCTGATTAGCAGCGCTTTAAAAAAAAAAAAGAAAAGTGAATTGTTCATTTGAACACGCAGTTAGCTGTTTAGCTTTAGCGGCGCCTTTTTTGTTGTGTGTGTGTGTGTGTGTGTGTGTGTGTGTTGTTGCAACGGCCTTGTTGAATTAGGAAATCATGTATCCATTGAGGGCTAGTTTCTAATACGAGTGTATGGGAACTGCTACAGCAGCTAGTGGTGTGGTTAACACTCCTCCAGGCCTCGAAGTGACTGTAGAAATATTCTCGCTAATCCCTCCATTGTTAGTTGGCCGAGGCCGCCGGGGTCTTGGCTACTGTTTTGCGGTGGCTGTGTCTGCCTGGGCCGTATATTCATGGTAGGTTTGAGGGGAGGATGTTAGCAGCAGCAGCAGCCTCATCAGCGGTAAATGATGAGCCTCTATCGTGATATCCCGGTTGTCCATTACGGCTCGCTAAGGGCCCTGGCATCTGCTGTGAGGCTGGCTGCGACATTTTGACGGTGGTTGTTGTTGTTGGAGCGAGAAATGGTGCTGTCACAAAAGCTGCAGTTGCCAAAAAATTGATTAGGGATACACATTTCATCGAAGAAATGATTGCGTTGCACGTAGCGTCTTCGAAACGGCACGGAAATAAATGAATTAAATAATAAATGTGTGATTCACATGGTTGATGCATATCGCGCACAGGCATCTTAAGTCAGCGTTTATCCGTTGCATAACTTTATATACATTTTAATATTAGAGTCTGAAATTTGTGTGCTTTTTTTTATTTTATTTTTTTCTGATGTTTTTGTTTTGTTTTTCGCAGATGGAGTCAAATAATCATTTCAACTATGACACCCACTCCTCAGCAAACTCAGGACTGAAACTCTCCTCAGGGGATTCTCTTTATACTAACGGGTCCTCCATGAGTTTTCCTCAGCAGGGGAAGAGTGAGTATTTTCAGCCTCGTAGCACTGTATCAGAGTCAGTTTATGCACTTTATAGACCAGATCTCACTTTATCCCACCACCGCCCGACTTCTGATGTCTTTCAATTTGATTATGTAACCTATCGCAGAATTAAGCTAAACAAACTCCGTGTTTTGTTAATGCAAATTCTAACCTTTCTGACTTGAATAATGTTCTTTTTGTCCAGCAGATATGAATGGCGAAATGAATGTGAATGGCGTCACTACTGTACTTGGGTCCAGTGTACCTGGTTCCCACCCACCAACTGCTCCTTACCCACACATGAGCAACCACCACCAGAGCAGCATGGGCTATGACTACTTGTGGGGGGGACACCCTCAGTATGGTCCCGCCATGGGCACCTCTCCTGGGCACGGGATGCACCAGAAGCAGCCTACACCTGGGATGGTGCAGCCTCAGTCACAGCACCACTTCCAGGGTCATGGACAGTACCAACTGAATGGGGGTATTGAGAGCTCCCATCAGCCCCCTGTGGCAGGCCCACCAAACATGCCTCTTACTGGGAGTCAGTACTGGAACAGGAGTAACCCTGGGCCACAGCAGATAAGTTATAATTCCCACAGTATGTATGGGACATACCAGAGTCAGGCACATCCTGGAATTACACCGTCACAGCATCACCAGCAACAGTCCTTACAACCGCCCACGCATCAACCATCACAGCAGCACCTCCACTCCCATCGGCACCCACCCCATCACCACCAGCAGCACCAGCAACCACAGCATTATGGCTTGATGCCTAATGGGATGCCCTACTACCAGCATCAACCCCAGCACCCGTCCATACCATCTCTCCAGCAGCAGCAGCAGCAGCAGCCACCACAGCAGTCTCCGGCCCAAGGCCAGGCTCAGATGATGCCCCCAGCTGCCCAGAATTTTACTCCTCCACGTGGCAGCCCACAGCACCACAGTTTAGGCAGAGGGGGCACAGGTAGCCCTCTCCCTGTGGGGATGTCCTCAGCCACAATGATGTCACCGTCAACAGGGCAGGATAATGGATCACCCAAGGGCCCCAACAGGGAACGGAGCCCCCATACAAGCAATGTGGGAATATCTCCTGTCATGCAAGGTGACCACTTTAAACTTACGGATGTGTTTGTGGAACTCTTTGACTCATTTTATCCTGTCGCTCCTTTTGTGTTTCCAGTTTCCTTTTTAAAATATGATTACTATTACAGTTGTGCCTGGGATTAGTGAGTTCTTCATTTTGACATGACTGTGTTTCTGGCATCCATCGTAGTTCTATTTCCTCATAATTCAATCCGTTCTCGACTTTACATTTCCTCCTTTAATTCCACCAGTTGAGTGATTCTCGTATAGTCATATGGTCTTCTTCCTCTTTGGTCATACTTGTCCTAGCCATCGCAGCTGCTATTAACAACTGTTATAACTTGCTTCTTGCTGGTTGCATTACAGTTTTACATGCCATATTTATAAGATTGTATTCTTGAATTGCAGTTATTGATTAGCTTAAAACAGTAAGAAGAAATTCACGCATACATGCCAAATATTTCCAGTTCCAGCAGAAATGTAAAGATTTTTTTCATTTTATTTTGATTTATATGCTTTTTTTTTATTAAGTCTTACATGATAGTACATTGAATATTTTTGGGTCTTGCACATTTGGTCGGACCAACAAGACAAATCATTTTTCATTTAATTTATAGACAAAACAATTAAATATAAATGCAAAATTTAATCAATAATGAATTTAATTAATTAATGTTAAGCTGCAGCCCTACTGGTTATTTCTGGCACATGCATGTCTTGTAACAGGTCAGTCTCATTGCCAGTGCTCAGTAGTGGGTAGCTCAACCAGCAGGTGCCACTGTTTGACTATGTAAAACTGTATGAAATGTCACTGAAGTCATTTGCTAGGGATGGCCTATGTCTACTGAATATATTTAATTATAAAATGTAGTTTTTCTATGCAGTTATAGTAGCAAAATTCAGATGCAATCCTCACTGTGAATCCATCATAATTTATTCTGCAAATTAGAAGCTTTTTTTTTATTGACTGTTTTGTTGATTCTTTGTCTTTCAGGCCACACAAGAGAAGCTGTCAAGGAAGTAGACACAAGCTATAATGGCATGGAAAGGGCATCTCTTGCCCAGAGGCTACCCAAAAGTGACGGTTTCCAACCCAAACCTGTGGGACCAACAAGTGACTATCGTCAGCATTCTGAACAGCCTTCAGCTCAGCATCCAGAAATGGTGTCCCCTGTCAGAGAATCAGCCATGAATACACCTCCCCACTCTGTGTCGTCTCAGCTCTCTGCTTCTACGTCTCCCGCAGCAGTGTCATCGTCTCTAACCAAGGCCTCAACACCTCCTCGGGTCTCTGCAGCTCCTGCTGTCTCTGAGTCCCCCACATTGGTCCCTGGGCCCCCTGTAGTGTCATCCCCTGATTTAGAACCCACTCCACCACAAATCTCAACACCTGCTCCTCCTCCCAGACTTTCCTCACCTCCTCTAATGATGCAAGGCCTCAGGCCAGAGATACCCCCTGCTGGATCCAAGAATCTGTCAGTGGGGTCCTCTTCCTCCTCCCCCCTGCCTGCATCACCTCCAAAGTTGTCTACACCTCTTGCGTCGACTGAGGGCGTGTCGAGACCTGCAGCAGTTTCGTCAGTCTCTTCTGTCTCTGAGTCTGTGGCTCATCAGATCAAGGCTTCATTGCCTCCTACAGCTTCTGGAACTCCTACAGCTATCTCCCCTCCTGCCCTAGTGTCCACGTCTTCTTTCTCAGCATCTGCACCCATCTCATCTCTTCAGCAGATGGTTCAAGGGTCCAGGTCGCCTCTTATGACATCTGGAGCTCAGCATGAAAAGCCTGGACCCCCCAAATTACTTAAGGCCACTTCATCAGTGGGTGCGAATTCCTCCTCTGCTGGTGTGGCTCCCCCTCTAATGTCAGTATCAGGACCTTCAACCTCAGCACCACCTGGGTCTTGTTTATCAACATCTGCATCTCCCATGTCTGTGTCCAAAATTCCTTCAGTCAATAAACCTTTTGACCCAGTGCCCGCAATCCAGCGACAGACATGCACTCCTCCAGCTGCTGACTCTGGTCTAGCATCATTACCACCAGGGGCAGTGAACCTACCCTCCCTAGCAGCCCATGAAAGTCCTACAGTCCGACCTCTGTCTACCCTACCTCTTCTAACCACTCAAGCCTCCAGGACTGCACCCGTGTCCGCCCCTCCTGCCTTGGTGTCTGTGCCTCCTGCAATGGGTACGTCTTCTGGAGTGGTTCAAGTTTCAGACTCTGAGCAGCATCCTCCTAACACCACTCCTCCTCATATGCTAAAGCAGTTGTCTCCCAAACCAGAGCACCATGGTCATAGTGAGGATAGGAAAGCGTTGGTTAATAAAAGAAACGGAAAACCAGAGGAACACTATCCTCAGCTTGATTCGGGCACGAGACGGACATCACAGAAGGTGGAAGCTATTGAGACTAATAAATCAGAAATTTGCTCACCCAAATCCCTCTCTGATCTTCCTGGAAAACCCTTGCAGACGACAGTCGCTCCTGATCAAAAGCCAGAGAATAAAGAGACAGATTCTGGAAAGCACCACATGCAAAGCAGTGTCTCCAGTGAGTCAGAGGATTCCATGATGGAGCAGACTCCGCTCAGAAAGTCTTCACATCTCCACAGCACAAGGGTAGAACATCTGACCGATGAAGAAAGTTTTGATAACTCTTCACAGTTTGATGGTAACTCAACATTTAACACCCCGTCAAGAATTGATGTCAGCTCTGTCTTGGAAAAGTCCTCTCTTGTAGATGACGATAGCTCGTGCGTAGATGACTCCACTCACTTTGACAACAGCTTTCACCTGAGAAAGGACACTTCTCAGTTTGACAGCACTTCCCATGCAGAAGAGGAACAATCTACTGCCTTTGACACCACTAGAGATAGCAACTCCTCAGTGGAAGACTCCAGAGATGACACGTTGGACTCCACCAGGGAAAGGGAAATGTCTGAGGCAGAAGAAACCAAGGACAGCTGCCAGATCACAGGAGAATCGGGGCTGGAGTCTTCTCTTAATAACACCTCCCAGATGGAGGAGCCCTCTATCGACTCAAGTGATGTGTCCAACTCATTTGTGAGATCTAAGTCAGATAGTCAAGGTACATTCTTAAAGTTTATGATCACAGAAATTAGTATCACATGGGTTGACGAGTGGTGGTTATTAATTAAGACATGTAGAATGCATTATCCTAATTGGATTGTTATCTTTACTTCCATTTAAAAAAAAAAAAAAATTTTAAGAAAAAAAGACTAAAAGTACATTTGTTTGGACATTGCATGTATTGACATTAAATGTAGATATATGTATTTCCAATAAAGATAGCTCTTTCTGTGTTGTATGTCATTATCCTGTATTTCTGAATTCTGATAACTATTTGCCGTTGTTTCATCTCAGTGGCTGAAGCAGAGTGGGAGCCCAGAGGACATGATACACCAGACTCAGCAGGACGCATTAGCATTAAAACCACTATTAATGAGACAATGACTCCCCCGAGTTTCAAGATGAGAGATGAGAACTTCATCGCCTTCAGTACCCCAGCAGAGGGCCCTGCTGTACACCCACTCCAACCAGTAACTGATCAGATAGTGTCAGCTGCTGGAGGACAACTGAAAACCCCAGGGAAACCACGCAAACCTCGAGCTCCAAAGGCAATATGGACTAAAACCCCAGGTATGTAACATTCTGATTTCAGCTAAATGTTACTTTGAAAAATATTTAAATTTATTTAAAACACTTTTTTTTTTCTTTGTCTTTTTCCCTTTTTTATATTAAGCTCCTGGGGAGGCCCAGCGAAAGTCTCGGGTACGAACTCCTAAAGTGGAGAAGACCAATGAAGAGGGAGGCGTTAAAGAGGAAGGACCCAAGGGCAGAAAGAGGAAGAAGCCGGTTAAGGTGGATGTCAAAGAAACATCAGCTGTATGTGGAGAGGCTGGGCAACCCGCAGGAGAGGTTGATCCAATCACAGCCACAATTGAAGCTGTTCTGGCCAACGCTTCAGCTATTAACACAGCAGTCGAGAAACCCAAGAAGGTGAAACGGGCCAAGAAACAAGACCAAGATGGAACCGTGGCAAAAACAGCTAAACAAGATGCTGAAAAAACTGCTGATGACGCTGATGAAAATGATGACAGCTCCACTGCAGGTAATGATGAAGAAGTTTTTTTTTTTGTTGGGGGGGGCCCCTTTCACATCATGTCATGGCGTTTTCTTGAGACGTGACATCGGAGTTTAACTGTGGTTGTGTGCATTTTCTTGAACAGGTGAATCTAACAGACGAAGGGTTGCAACTGAGGAGCAGGTTCAGTTCCCACTGCAGCATGGGTAATGTTCTCTTGTTCCATTGTTTGTTTACCATAAAGCCTTTCTATACTATTACGCTGTAGATCCGAAACACTATTGACTAAACATATATGGGTATTTCTTAAGCAAAATGTGGTACAAAAAATCTCTTCAGAACTACAATACAATTATTAATTTATCAAATAATTACAGCTTTTGTAATTTGCATATTGCACATTTAAATTTAGCCTTAAGTTGAGGTCTTGGCATGTTGTCCATATTCATCTTTTAGTTGATTCCTGTGCTAAACATCCCTCTAACACATCTTGTCTGAGATCTCAAGAGTCTCTGTTTTTATTTAGTTTTGGAAAGTTTTCATGTTTTCAGTGTTTTATATATTATAATTACAACTGTTGTTTGTTTGCTGTTCTCAAAAGCTGCTGTATGGCAGGATTGTAACAATGACCTCTCTTAACTGTAGTTGGAGGAGGGAGATTCGTGTGAAGAAAATGGAGAACCGCATGAAAGGTGAAACCTGGTATTACACACCTTGTGGAAGGAGGATGAAGCAGTTCCCAGAAATAATCAAGGTACATTCTCGCAGCTATAAGATTTGAACTTTTTACTTAAATTTTACTTTCAAGGCATATACTACAACAGATGATTTATTCATAATGTCAAAACACTTGACTGTGTTTTTCTTTCTCTCTTTTCTGTTCTCCGAATTGCTTCACCCAGTACTTGAAGAGACACACGGACAGTGTGGTCACCAGAGAACACTTCAGCTTCAGCCCACGCATGCCTGTTGGGGATTTTTATGAAGAAAGAGAAAGTCCTGAGGTTTGTATGTTTGCAAAGTACTAATCAGTTACATTTTTCTATTTAAGAAGAAAGTAAAATCATTCCCTGTCAAAGATTTGGATCAGAACTACTCCACAATTAAACTCATGGTATCACATGGTCACATTCTGTGTACGTTACAGGGTATGAAGTGGGTCCTCTTGGCTAACGAGGAAGTTCCCTCTATGATCATGGCCATCACTGGCCGGAGAGGTCGACCTCCAAACCCTGATAAAGAGAAACCCCGCAGGGTTCGTGGCCTTAAGGGAGGGCAGGCTCGTCGCCCTGGTAGACCTCCCAAACCCAAGATGATTGACCTCCTCAGCAAAGTTGATGCCAAGCTTTTGAACCGACTTGAGGCCAAGGGTGAGTGGATGTAGACCGTAGGAGATAGGAGTGTACAGGGATATGTTTATAACTAGTTGTTGAGGCTTGGCATAAAAGAGTCTTGCTTAGCATGTAACCTCAAGAACTTTGTACTGTAGCTAATTGTTTGTATTCCCTGTTTATAGAAGCTCTCACGGAGGAAGAAAAGGAGAAACTTGCAAAAATCAAAAAGAAAATGAAGAGAAAGGTATGTAGTTCAGACTGTCTGTAATGTTGAGCTCCTATGTTGTTGACATCTCATCCTTATTTTGTTGCTGCCGTTTATTATTTAGGCAAGAATGAAGAGAAGGGAGGATGCGAAGATCAAGAAGATGAAAGAGGAAAAGAAGAAAGCCAAGGTACAGATAAATAATCAAGCAAAAAGATTTATCAGCATTTTCCGCAGCACCACCTCTTCTTCACCTTCGTCTGTTCTTTCTTTTCTTTGTGGGTTCAGCTTGAGCAAGAGGCCAAGGACCAAGAGGTGAAGGCTGAACCAACCGACCCGACAGCCCCACAGGTCACACAGCCAGCATCAGGGTCCACTGCGGAGCCCAAAAAGCCTGGCCGCAGGAGGTCAGTTAAGGTTGAGGTTCCTCCACCAATACAGCAAACTGATGAAGAGAGGATAGCGCAGGGTAAGAGGGTGCTGGGTGCTCGGAGCAAAGCCAAGGCTCTGGCTAAAGCCCAGGCAGAGGCAGAGGCGGCAGCTCAGGCTGCTCTGTCAGCTAAGAGAGCAGCAGAGAGGAGAGCACAGGCCCAGAGACGTCTGGAGGAGCGGAAGAGGCAGCAGCTGATCGCGGAGGAACTGAAGAAGCCAACAGAGGACATGTGTCTCACTGACCACAAAGTGAGTTTTGTAATTGAAACCCAGTTTCTTTTAGCACCGTCATTGCAGAGGATTTTGTTTACGGTAATCATAACCTTGGAACGTCGTCTCTTATCAGCCCCTACCAGAGCTGTCCCGTATCCCTGGCGTCGTTCTATCTGGCACGGCGTTCGCTCACTGCCTGGCTGTAGTTGAATTCCTACATGGCTATGGAAAGGTGATTGGTCTCAATGTACCCAAGGACATCCCCAGCCTTGCTACCCTGCAGGAGGGCCTCTTAGGCCTGGGTGATAGCCAAGGGGAGGTCCAGGACCTACTGATAAAGCTGGTGGAGTCTGCACTCCATGATCCAGGCCTGCCATCATTTTATCAGGTGCGTGACAGTTTTTCTCCATTAATTCACTCCTGAAAACGGATGATAAACCTTTTTTTTTTTTTCAATCTACATGTTCTTCTCCATCTCCTCATCAGTCTGTAAAGATCCTTGGGGATAAGCTGGTTGAGTTGGAGCTGACCCGCAGCACAGTCTCAGAAGTACTTCGCATCTTCATGGAATCTCATGGTTATGATACAGAAGTGTGTAACACAATGAGGACCAAACCATTTCATGCTCTGTCTCCTGACACCAAGGCAGCCATCCTGGGTTTCCTGGTGGAAGAGCTCAATAGCAGCAACATTGTGACAAGGTTAGAACAAGAATTTATTATTTATTCTGTAGGTTACTCTTGAACCTCAAAGCTTGCTACTAGCACTTTTCTGCTACTACTTTCTGCTCTATTACTTTACTAATGTATGTATATTTTTTATTTCAGTGACATTGACAACACATTAGAAAACATGGCAACTTACAGGAAGAACAAGTGGATCATTGAGGGGAAGTTGCGCAAGTAAGTTCACGGTTTTCTCTCTTCAAATTCAGAAAAATTCACAGATCACTCTTTTGTAAGACATGACCTGTTGATCCTGATTGTTTTCTCCTTCGTAGACTAAAGGCTGTACTAGCACGTCGTACAGGACGCTCGGAGGAAGAGCTGTGTTTTGAGGAGAGGAGGCGTAGTGCCAGAGTCGCAGAGGAAGAGAACCTCAGTCTGGAGGAGAGTGGCCTGGAGAGAGGCAACCGCCGTGCACGCAAAGAAGAACCCAAACTCAGTGATGTGTGTATCTGCTCTGCAGTTGTTTTTGTTTTTTCAGTGTTAGAAATGAACCATTCCTACATTAAATTTGTATCTTTTCTTTTACAGACTGAGAGTCCTACCACTGCCAGCATTCCAGAGCTTGAAAGGCAGATAGATAAGCTAACCAAGGTAAACCTGATGCTACATAGATGCAGTGCTTTTATACATTTATTTTGCTTTGTATTAAACAGTCCTCTGCTTTTGGATCTCCACAGCGACAAGCATTTTTCCGCAAAAAGCTGCTACAGTCGTCTCATTCCATGCGGGCCACATTACTGGGCCAGGATCGCTACCGGCGCAGATACTTGGCGTTACCTCACCTTGGAGGAGTTCTGGTCGAGGGGCCAGAAGAGCTGTTGAGTGAGTCTGAGAAGACATTTGAAAGAATTGTCATCACTCCATCATTTTTAGGCTTAAGCTTTTGCTCATCCATCTTCATCTAAACTTTCCTTACATTTCTGTCGTGCAGCCTGTGGAGATGTCCTTGTAGCAGAGGTTCCTGTCACCTTCCTCAAAAAGGAGCCCAAAGTAGAAGAGACTCCCATGCCTACAACTCCCCCTCCTACTCTTCCTTCCTCTCCTTCCTCTGCTACCCCTGGCCAGGCCAAGACCGAGACTTTGTCTCCAGAGGAGGACCCCCTCCCTGGCACCGCATCCCTCATGAGCAGGCCAAGAGGACGAGGCCGCCCCCGAAAAATCAAACCAGAAGTGGAGCTTCACCTACGCACAGCAAAGATTCGCCGTCGGCGTCGAAGTAGCGTCAGGTCTTGGGGCGAAGAAGGGCCAGGATCACCAAAGGGTGCCACACAAGACCTCACACAGGCTGCTTTCCAGAGCTGGCTCAGCCAGTCACAGGAAGCAGTGACCAACGGCACATGTTCAGCAGCAGGGGATGCTCCAGAGGGTAATCGGCCAGAGGAGAGCGTGAAGGAGATGGCAGAGAAACAGGGACAGTGGTTCAACCTGCTCCCCAAACAACCGTGTGATGATAACTCTCTGACCGAGCCCCAAGTACCCACCTCACCCAGCTCGCCCCCTAAACTCCTTCCTCAGATACAGAGTGCTCTGCCTGCACTCGCTGATCCACTCCTGCAGGTTTGTCACCATAATCATAACAGTAAATACATTTAATTGTGCTATATTCAGTCCAGTATGGGTTTTAAATGAATTCTCTCTCTCCATCCCTCAGCCGGACCCGCTCTTGCCTAGCCTGGCTCCTGCTGACCCTCTGACTTCAGCAACATCACAGGACATTCCTCCAACACTCCCTGCTGTCGCTGTTCCCGTTAATGCCCCACAAGGTCCCCCTCAGCTTCTTGCAGCTCCCATTCCTTCTGCAACGCCTGCTCCAACTACCCCCGCCAGGCCATGTCGCAGGCGGAGGAGAGGTAGCCGAGGCAGTAGTCCTGCACGCAGAGGGGCAAGAGGAGCTGCAGCCAAGCGGCGTGGCCGCCCTCCCAACTCTGTGTTCCAGGAGCTCGAGCAGCAGTATTTCACACAACTGGTGGTCAAGCCCATACCAGCATGTAAGTAGTATCTGGTTAAAAAGAGTGTTATGATATTGAGCCAGTAGTCTGAGAGATATATTTGTTTTACTTTAAATTTAATACCACATTTAACAGTTCCTAAACTGGGATTTAGGACTTCCCACCAGTCACATTTAGCGTACAAAATATGCAGAAAACATATACATCATGGTCATTTATTGCGTTCTAGGTGAAAAACACAAGTCTGTGTCTTTTTTCTTTTTATTTTATTTCTGGTGTGTTATGTAATACATTGATGTTTCTTTTCCAGCGATGGTGCGTGGTTGGTGGTGGATCAAGGATCCAGAGGAACTGTATCACACCTTACAGGCTCTCCATCCAAGGGGCATCAGGGAGAAAGTGCTCCATAAGCACTTGGCCAAACATATGGAGAGCTTGGCTGAGATCTGCACCAAATCCATCAACGGTGAGTGTTGTGTTAGTGGACTTTCTTACTCAGCATTTTAGCTCTGTTTTTGATGTCAGGCATCATCCTTTTTTCCTTCTGCCGTTTCCCCTGTTACAACTGTTTCTTGTGTTGTTTCTGGCTAGACCGTATATTTGAGTTGAAGGTAGAGGAGAAGGATTTGCTAATAGAGGCCCTGCAGCAGCCCTGGCAAGTGCAGGAAAAAGCAATTGAGACTGACATCAGTGCCCTACAGTGGGTGGAGGACCTGGAGCAGCGGGTCATTGCCGCCGACCTCCATCTCAAGGTGAGAAATCACATTACTTTTTATGTCGCACTATTGTTTGTTGTCTTAGTAATCCAATTTGAGTTAAAGTGAAATTAAAAGTTTGATTTCTTTTGGTTCTAACAGATAATAGCAGAAAAGATAATATTTAATTTAATTATCTCTCCACTTTTCATCTCTATGGTCAAAATCTCTAATGGAGACATAAAGTGCCTAAAAAAAATACTCAAATGAAAACTGCAAAATATCAAATATTAGTATATACTAGTAATAAGTTTCAAATACTGACATATTGGCCTTATTCTGTTGCCATGTGCTAAGAAGTCTATGCGTGTGCCACATTTACAACAATGGTAAAAAGTCTCCAAAAGACTCTAACATAACACTTTGTGTTTCTTGAAGGCGCTTCCCCAGGGTGCAGTGAATGATGCTGAATCTAACACAGAGATGCCAATGGCAGAATTTCAGGTAACGATTAAAACACTTGATGAAATGTTTTCTCAACATTCCTAAGTCTAGAATTGAGTTGTACATGACTCCTGTTTATTTATATCTCAGGCACTGAAAAATAAACTGTCTCACCCCCTTTTTAAGCCCTACACAATCCCAGATCCAGACTCCACACGTGATGACCTCCAGTACTATGAGCATGACGTCGACCCGCATGATGACTGGATTGTGCGAACTAAGAAGGAGTGGTCTGGCCTGCCGCGTATCGCCACGCACCCAGTGGACTTGGCCGTGCTGCGGTTGGCTAACCTCGAGCGTAACATCGAGAGGCGCTACCTGAAGGAGCCGCTGTGGAACCCAGCTGAAGTGATGCGCCTCGCTCCTCTCACTCCTACCCCAGGAGAAGAGCATCCCATGGATGTCTTTAGGTGAGAAGAAGGAACTTTATTTTAGAGTGCAGGATTTTTTATTCAGTTTTTCTGATTTATATTTTAATATTATTTTCTTTCTGTTCCAGTCTGGAAAGTGAGATCACGTCTCGACTACGTACTTGGCGGCAGGCTCTGGATCGCTGCCGCAGCGCTCCGCAGGTCTGTCTGTGTTTACTTCAGCTGGAGAAGGCCATTGCTTGGGAAAGATCTGTGACTAAGGTGGTAAGTAACTTTATCTCGCAAGATTGTTTTTTGACCCTGGTGAACTTACTGTTTGTTTGGGAGCACACAAACCATATTTAAATTTGTTGTAATTTTAACAACAAGGTTTCTTCTGTTTTGATTTCTATCTAGACATGCCAGGTTTGCAGGAAGGGAGACAATGATGATTGCCTGTTGTTGTGTGACGGCTGTGATCGTGGCTGCCACATGTACTGCCTGAGGCCCAAAATCACCCAGGTGCCAGAGGGAGACTGGTTTTGTCCTACCTGCGTTGCCCAGGTTAGAACCCGTCCTGTGATTCTAGTAATTTATTCTCCAATACATTCATTCATCATAAGGTCAATCTATCTGCTTCCTTATTTGCTCTGTCGCTCAGGAGGAAAGTGATTCACCGCGCTCGTGCAAAAAGAGGACCAGGGTGAAAAAGAGAAGATACGAAGATGACAGCTCAGATGATGAGACGACGACAACGCGACGTAGTGGCGGCATGGCAACACGATACAAGGAGACTGTGGCTCCCTCCTCATCTACCCGTAACTCTGGAGAAGGAAGCGCTGCTAAACGTCGTCGCATGACAACCCGCAACCAACCTGACCTCACCTTCTGCGAGTGAGTCCTGCCTCCATCGCTGTCGAGCTACTTGCATGCAGAATGATCTTATTAATGTTTAATAACAGGATTTTAAAGTCATTTTTTAAGTGCACAAGGTGACGTGTGTTTTGACAGTTATAGTCTGATGGATTTGTGTTGATGCTTTTATTTATTTGATTTCCTGCCAGAATCATTCTAATGGAGATGGAGGCTCACGCTGAAGCCTGGCCGTTCCTTGAACCCGTCAACCCCCGACTGGTGCCAGGCTACCGCCGTATAATCAAGAACCCCATGGACTTCCTCACCATGAGAGAGAGACTGCTACAGGGAGGGTAAGAGCCGATCATGCAACATGTTTCATGACTGCTTTATTTATTAGCTCTCATGCACAATAGTTCAGGGTTCACTGCGTTATGTGTGAAAAGGTAGAAACCTTCCTTTCCGGTACTTTATTTTTAAGTTTAAAAAAAAAAAAAAAAAAAAAAGGATGCAACCCATTTCCAAGTAGAACTTTCCAATTTCCCATTCACACTCTGCTCACAACACGAAAACATGAGGGTCAACCAAAATATGTAGCTTTCTTAGAAATAAAAAGAGAGGATAAAATAAAAAAAAATATTACTCACACATGGAAATCAATGTGCTCTCACCTCATCCTTTTACTTATACACTTAAAGTGGTCTCTGTACACCCGTATACAGACAGGTGCGTGGGAGATAAAGCAATGGTTCAAAACAAAAAGTCAACTCCTGCATACTGTCAAAACTCATGGTGTATTTATTCAGTAGCTGTGCAAAGGTCAAGCAAACTTCATCAGGCCTTTTTAACACAGCAAATAACATTATGCCTGCACATATATACAAACGCACACAGAAAAATCAACCATCTTCCAAATCTTATGAATATGTCCCTCTCTGGTACTTTCTAACACCAGTCCTCTCCTCTGTTTCCTTGTCTCAGGTACTGCAGCTGTGAGGAGTTTGCAGCAGACGCTCTGCTTGTCTTCAACAACTGTGAGCTGTTCAATGAGGACACGTCGGAGGTGGGAATGGCTGGACACTCCATGAGGCGCTTCTTTGAGAGCCGCTGGGCGGAGTTCTACTCAAATAAAGACAAATAAGAGCCTAAGACGTTTCGGCTGATGGTGGGGCTGTATACTGTTGGTGCTGTCACCGTCCCAGTCACACTCTCTACATTACTGCTAAGACTGTCTGGAGGTTCTTCCAGCTATGTGTATTCTCTCATGTATAGGTATATATGTATAGATTTTGGCTATTTGTCTGTTATTGTTTCCTCTATCGGCCTAATCTTTTCCAGGCCCACAGATAAACTGGCTTGAACTTGTACCCATTCCCCACCAGAGATGGTGCGAACACGTCTCTCTTTACTTCCTCCTTTCGTGTCTGCTCATCTTCATCTCAGCTCCTCATCATTTGCGTTCTCCTGTCACGTCCTTTCACAAGCCCCATGTCGTAGCGAGGCCTTTGGTCAAGCCCCTGCCGTGTGGGCCGATGACTCGGCCTCAGGCCCTGGGTGTTTCGGCTCTCAGACTCACACTGAAGGTCAGGGACTGATCACACTATTGCAGCCTAACTGCTGCATACTGGACCTGCTTAGCACTGCTCGACGACAAAATGGATCAAAACTCTTCACAGAGCTCGGGCCATTTCTTACCTGTTCAATGGAAACGTAATGTAACGTGGTCTTATGCCTAGAAGTAATTTTTTTGCTCAATATATTTTTATTATATATTCTATATATAAATATATATAAAGATTACAATAGCTGGGATTATTTAATAGCAATAGCTTGTAGTGAATGTGTACAGATTACCTTATAGAGATGTCTAGACGATTTATGAAAAGGCCAGTTAAACTAAAAGGCATCTGTTTGGACTGTCACGAGTACACGTTGTATAACCTCCACTTAAAGTCTTGCACGCACACATACACACTTTTCACCAACACACAAACATGCACACGATTTCACTCACACACACACACACACACACACACCACACGCACACACACACACACCCACCTTCTGCTGCTGTGTGAAAGACACTGGTTTCTGAAACTGGAGGACTTTTTTTAATGTTGGGTCAGTCAGTCTGGGCTTCGATATTTCACTGTCCCTCTTAAGAGTAAATAGTCTGCTAGTTACACCTGATCTGCGTCACAGACTGTATACAACTGAAAGGATGCTACTGCAACACACAGCTCACACTGAAATGTTGCTCATGTGGTATGAAATTGATAAGATAAGATTGCAAAGCTTCAAAACTTCTCTTGAGCAATTGATGCTTGCTGAAAATGACACTCGTACTTCCGTTTGTCTGTAGCTCGTCTTAAGGCGAAAACATGTAAAGGTGGTCACGTGTGAGGCTGAAATCCTCCCGTTTTAAAGATTAGAATTGCAAAGGAGCTCTGATAATGAGATACTAGGCACATTCCTGCCTGGTTTTCTGTCTTACATTCCTTTTTATTGATTTTTGTGCTGTACAAGGGCCAATGTTTGATGTTGCGCGGCATGGTTGGTGTGCTCTGAAGGCGACAGGACAACTCCACAGTCTGGGTTTTATTTAAACATGTTTCTTACACTGAACTCAAATCCGTTGATAGGAAATAACCTTTGATGTTCCTTATTACACTTAAAGGGACAAGACGTTTTTTCAAAAAAAAAAAAAAAAGACATGAAAACCAAATGTGGTGTTAAGTGAATTTTTAATAATGTACAGTTTTGGTGACTTTAAATTTGTTCCTTTATATTTTTAGGACCAATTCATCATTTTTAAGAGGAGGTATTACAAGACTCTGTTGTATTAAGGTGATGTAACACGTGTGCATCTGTAGAATGTACTGTGAGTTGAATAAAAACCACATCTAGTAGAGAGTAATTCTTCTCTTTTCTCTTCGTTCTTCCCTTTGGCCTCTTACCTGAACCTTCTCTGTGTGTGTGTCTGTGTGTGTTCTCCATGTTTCTCCCAAATTTAGGGTTCCCCCTCATGTGTTCCTGTTTCTTCCCACTGCCTACAGACAGATTAGGTCATGTGGCGACCCATAACGTGTGTGTGTGTGTGTGTGTCACCGGTGAACCTGTTGAGGGTGACCCGGCCTACTCCCCTGAACAGGATTAGAGAAATAGATGGATGTGCTGCACATGGCTAATAAACTCTCATCACACGCGGATCTAGTTCCAGCTTCTTTTAATGTGAGGTTTCAAAAGCTTTTTTCTCTCATTTATGATTGTAAATAAAAAATGTTTGGACTGTTGATTGGACAAAAAACATTTAAAGACCTCACCACGGCTCTGAGAAACAACATTTTACAGCCTTAATCAATTGAGAAAATAACAGGCAGTTAAGTCAGTAATAGTGATCCTAAATTGCAGCTCTAGATACTGCAAGGATTGTGTTAAAGCGACACACACACATTTATTGCCTTGTGGACTCATTGATACCAGAGACAAACCATCTAAACAACCTGACTGACCGTGTATGTTATACTTTATACGAATTAAAGATTATGCAATTTCTTTTGTGTTTGTGATGTGGATTCGAGTTTAATTTAGTAGTTGAAACGTCTCTCTGTTTTACATTTTAGTACCCCTTTACTGATATGAAACACCAGTTAACTAAGAGTGAACGTTATGTTACATTTACAGTCTTCTGACGGGTTTTTTAATGCTCCTGCTAACTGTTTAGTTGCAATAAATACAGCATTTTCCAGATAGTCTTGCACACTCTGCCTGCTTGCCTCATACCTCTACTAAAACTCGCTGTATATCACAAGACAAGCCCACTGCAATGTCACATTTAAGGGTGAAACGGAGCCCTTAACCATGATGGAAATATGCTGAAGTATTTGGGCGGGGCTCTGCAGCTCCCTGGAGAGTCCTGTCTGAGGCACATGCTGCTGGGAACGTCCTGCCATCACTCCCAGCTGCTCTACAGTGGAAGAGACTCAAGTACAGCACACTCCCACACACTTAAATTCTACGCTAAAATAAATAAAAGCAAAGCATCTGAAAAAATGAAAAAATATGGATATTTTCAGAGTTAGAAAAATGAAAACGGGTGTATTGTCTTTGAGTGCTTCTCTGCCTTTGCCCTCTATCGCTCTCAAATCCCTTAGCTGGCACTTTGTGTGAGTGTGTGTATATTTGTGTGAAATTGTGTCAGTGTCAGCACTCTGGGTGGAGGGGGCTGAAAACTCCCCACGCCAGCGGGTTCCAGTGTGCCCCCCGCCTGTCCCACTCCACACAGTTGGGCTTAACCCCACAAAAGGGGGGATAACAGTTTAACAGTTGCCGTGGAGAGGAGGGGGTAATCCACGGCATAATGGTGCACGCCAGCAACCCCCCCCACCCGACCAACCAGTTCATTCTGGACTCACTCTGTCAGATTGAGGGCCCCAGATGACTGGAGGGTCAGGAAAATCAGTTTAACATCTCCATATCATCATGAATACCATGTCAGCTGCATCTATCCTGCTAGAACAAACACACTGAAGTAAAGGAAACACATTTAAAACGTCCATATTTTCCTAATGTGTGTTACTAATATGTATGTATGTATGTATGTATGTATGTATGTATGTCAGTTCATATGCAATAAAAAGGAAAAAACAAAAAACAAAAAACGTCTATATTCAGACTTGTTGCATCAACCAAGGTGAATATTCAGTTTTTTTTGGTCAAACAGAGGAATTCCATTGTGCTGTAGTGCATTACTGTCTGTTTTACAAAACATCTTCACAAGGTGTGTGTTTGTTTGATATCAAAGAGAGAAAATGAAAAGCGTGCACAGATGCAGCATCACAATAGGCTCTATGGCAACAGCATCATGAAAGAGTTTGTCCCCATGGTGATCAGAGCAGTACCTCACAAGTAGTTTGAGGAAGAAATAACAGGAGGGTGGGAGGACATCATATTCGGTTTAGTGTCAACATAACACAACAGGCAGTTGTATACGTGGTTGTACATTTTAATGTATTCGGACCGTATTTGTATGAAGTCCGTCCATCTCACTTCAAACCTGGACCCTTTTGGAAAAAAGAAAAACTAATTTCTCTCCAGTAGATAAAACATTAGAGGACTGATGGAAGAGTCACATTTATCTGATGCTGAAAACTATGAGTCAGTAGATAATTTCAGAGGATGTGGTCTGTTCTTGTTGCTCTGGTCCTCTCCGCTCATTAATGGTCCCTTTCTCTTATAATTGATATGAAAATCAGGCTGAGCAGCAGTAATGGGTTCCAGGTGCTCAGGACACACCAACGCAGTTCAGCCCATCAGAAGACAACAGGATAAGCCACAAACACTTTTATGTTATGTTAATGTTATACTCTTCTATGGATATGTCATTTTTGTAAAAGGATATATATCTATATATTGTTATTGTCAACAAATTCCAAGTCCAAAACCAACAACACATTAGTCTGATTTTTTACCATCTTGTCTATGGCACTACTATACTAATATATAATACTGTAGGCTCACAATAACAATGCTAACATGTTTTATGACTTTTAGCATGAATAATATTTACCAAGTTCACCATCTTAATTTCATGTGTTTGCACATTTGATAATTAGTACTAAACACAAAGTTAACCAAAAATAAACCATTCGACAAATAGAAAATTTGACCTGATGATGGTGCTAGAGGAAATGTCATCTTAAGAGCAAAAAATGGGTCATATAGTTTCATTTAAAATAATAAAGGCTCAGTAATGCTTGTCATTTTTTCCCCAGCTGTGTTTATACACATTTGGTGCTGTTGTGCAGTGGCTCCTAAATTATTGATTTGCTATATCAGTGCACTTTATATTTTCATTACCTCATTTTAAATGTTCTGTCTAGTTTAAACAGTGTGCTGCTGCTTTGATGTGTCACCTACACAAATTATTTTGTGTTTTCAAATTCTATTTGGCATTAATAAATAAAAATAAATACTTACAGAGTGATAACACGTGTTATTGGGTCTATTTTGTATGGATATGAAAACTCCAAGATAAACTACAGCGGCCATCTTATCAGCCAACAACAGTGTGAGTTTTTGAACAACAATGGATCTCTACGCCACAGAGGAATGTGTTGTTTTGGTTTTTATTTGCTTTTCATTTTTGGATACAAAAGTCTTTGAGTCTTTTTGACATATTTCTGTAAATAAAACATTTGGAAACTTCTTTTTTTCCCTCTTTTAAGCTTTGAATTTTGTGTCTTATGTTTTAAAACACCAACTGACAGAAAACATTTGAAGGTGACATTTGAAACTGGCATTCAACTTCAACTCTAAATGACCCACTTTTTTTGCAGCGCTTATAATTTTGATCAAGTTACTTCAGTCCTTCTTCATAATTGGTTACATAATTTTTTGTCCTCACTGCAATGTTTCAACGTCATCCAGACATTGTGCAAGCCTTTGAAGTGGCCACAATCACTTCAGTTTGAGGATAAGTGAAAGGCTCCTGGTAGTTTTCTGAAGATGCATTAAATTGCTCAAGGTCGGTAGAAAGTGTTGGAGGAAAATTGGGAGGGTCGGATGTTACACATGCAACCTTGGAGAGACATATTTCAAGGGTTTGCACTGACTTATGTTAGTGCGGAGAAAGCCTGGATAGGGCCTTAGGTGTGGGAGGGAAGGAGGGAAGGAGAGAGTGAGGAGAGAGAGAGAGAGACTGAGAGGGGGGAGGTTGCTCTCATCAAAGGACCTCTCAGACTCTACAAGTTAATGAGGGATGTAGCAGAGACCCTGAAGCCCTCAGACCCCGACAGCTACACAAAAACAGACGGACATACAAGCAGAAGGACAGACGGACCTCCGTATAAGAAGAAAAAACTTGAGGACAACATACTCATTTAGTTGGAAATGACGTGGCGTGAGGTAAGCATCTTATTTTATTGCTTTAGTGTATAAATCCCTCATTACTTCCACTTGCAAGATCCTGAATCAAAAAGGGATTGCTTTCTCCAAGGAGTGCTTGTGTATTTGTATTTTATGGCAGTTTGAACTCAGCAAGCAAAAGCAGCACTTTGTTAAAAGCCAGTGTTAAAATGTTGGGACAACTGATGCAAGAACACATCAAAGAGACTGAGTTACAGTATTGAAATACAGATTACTTACATCTAGTTGACTTGTGTTGGATATAGTGACAGAGTAAGTGTTGTCTGTGTCCTCTTTTAAGACTCCTTGTGTCATCTTCATTATCATCTAAGTAGAAGGACTATCTCAAAAAGTAGATCAATAAACATAATCGTCAGCATATAGTGTGTACAGCCTACATTGGGCTTCGTGAGACTATATAAGTTTAATATGTTTCTCATTAGGGTTTGAGATTCCAGTTTTGTTTATATCCCTTTTCTCCGAGGAGCTACGTAGTCGGCAGTTCTGGCGTGCCATACTTGCAGAGCTGCTCGGCACCCTGGTGTTAGTGAGTGCCGTGCTGGGTGCCTCTGTGCCTGGCCCAGGAGAGGCACCCGGGGGACCCATGTATCCAGCAGTGGCAGTGGGTGTGGTGATCGTGGCACTTGCACACTGTTTTGGAGAAATAAGTGGAGCACAGGTAAATGTCTCATAGTCATACACTCATTTAAAAATATTATTTTTCTTTCTATGATTGACTTGATTGAAACTTTTTGCTGGTGTTCACAAAGCTTCAAAGTAACAAGCATCCTTTACTTGAGTACCAATACAGTTAATGTTAAAATACTCAGTTTCAAGTTCTGTTTAAAATCTAACTGAAGTAAAAGTACAGAAGTATTATTAGCTTAATGTCCTTAAAGTATCAAGAATAACTTAATACACATTACATTAAGGCCGCTGTGAGTGATATATTATCATATATGACATTATTAGATTGTTAAAACCTTTTACTGTTAGTTTAAACTACTTTATAGACAAGGTAAATCTGTGGGGGGTAAAAATCTTAATTTAATCTTAATAGATGTAGTGGAGTAAAAAGTACAATATTTCCCTCTGAAATGTAAAAATAAATGTACAAGTATAAAGTCCCATAAATGGAAATAGTCAAGTAAAGTACCTGAGTAAATATACTGGCAGAGTTTTAATGTTATTTAATTGTTTTTAAATATATTTATATGTAAGTATGTGTTTATGCTCTCTGATCAGGTCAACCCTGCAGTCACTCTGTCTATGTTGGCCACTCGGAGGCTGGATGTTCTCAGGGCCCTCGTTTATATCACTGCACAGTGTTTGGGGGCCTCTTTAGGAGCCGGGGCCCTCTACCTGGCCCTGCCGCTCAAAACCACCGCAGACCACTTTGTCAACAGGGTCAGTTCTCGGATTATTATCGGGTTACCTTTTAAAGTTTAAGAGACGTGACATTCTTTCATCCCTTTTGACCGGAGGCTCCTCTTTTACCTCGCTCAGGTTCCTATAGAGTTGAATGCAGCACAGGCTCTGGGCATAGAGGTTTTGTGCACCTTCCAGATGGTCTTCACGGTGTTCTCAGTGGAGGATCAACGACGGAGGGAAAGCCCAGAACCTGGAAACCTGGCCATTGGGTTAGCACACACTGCCGGAGTGCTAATAGGGGTAAGAGACGCTTTCTTTTTAGTTTTGTTGTAACAAGTTGATTAAATTCATTTCCAGGCGTATTTTTTTTACTACTAAAGTTGGTACAAGTTTGATTCTCCCACACACAACACTTCACAGTCACGACAGCTTTGATATGTGGACACTTATTCATAGTTTGCATTGTTTTACTTTTGATCAGAGAAGACCATGTGACTCATCTGAGACACGTATAAAAAGACAAATAACAAACAAATTATAAGCAAAAACAAAACAAAAAGTTTTTCTGGAGTTTTTAACCCAAATGCAATACATGCTGGGACTATGTGTATGATTTAGTGGCATCTAGTGGTCAAGTTGCTTATTGCAACTATCTGAACACAGCTCAGCCTTCAAGCATGTAGGAGAAACTAAGATTCTTATTTTCAGGTGATTATACACTAATGAACATACACCTATAAATATTATATTAAATTTATACCAACAGATCCTTCTAAATGTTACACACTGGACCCTTAAGCTAACAATGTTTATAATGGTTCCTCACATATATTTAATTCATATACTGTAGAACTTCTGAAATGGTTCCACAACTAAAATCCACAAGTTCTGACATTGTAATAAATCACAGTTTGACACATCTGGACTCTTTAACTGAAGCAAGAGACTAAATTGGTTTGTTGCCACAGTTTGTATGTTTATAATTTCTAAGTATAAGTTGTATAAGTATATGTGTTATCTTTATTCATGCCAAAGAAGTTTGTCTCTGATGACAGATTGTATTTGCACTGGTATCCAAGGAAACCCTTTGAATCTAAACAGGAATAAGGAAGCTAACAAAATAGGTGAATTAGTCAACCACATAAAAATGTCACACAGCTGTTCATGAAAAACTAAATATAAATTCAAAATATTAGAATAAAAATGGCACAAAATGTGTACAGCACAGAGTACGACCACTTACTAGAGAATACAGAGAGATTTTGGCTGGAACGATCTGACCCCAGGTCAAAAGCAGACAGCTCACAACCCAGCAACCATGTTAGAAGTAGTTTTCCAGAGTTATACAAAACTAAAGACTTGCTGGGATGATGCAAATGCAACCATAAAATACATTATGGATATATGACTCCAAACAAGGTAACAATTAGGAGGGTATATATATGAGGAACCAACAAATACACAATGAGAAATGTGCTTATAGAAGCACCTCCAGAAAAAGAACAAATTTACAAATGTATTCAATGAAAGAATTAAACCTGCTGATAGTTAAATTAAATATTTTCTACAGGGATTTATTTACATGTAACAGGACTGACTGTTGTTTCCAGTTCTTAAAACCCCAATAAAACTGAAAGAAAAAAAGCATGTACTTGACTTAATGTGTGTGTGTGTGTGTGTGTGTGTGTGTGTGTGTGTGTGTGTGTGTGTGTGTGTGTGTGTGTGTGTGTGTGTGTGTGTGTTGTTTTTCGTATCAGGGGCGGTTCTCTGGTGCGAGTATGAACCCTGCACGTTCTCTGGGTCCGGCCATCATCACTGGCTTCTGGGAAAACCACTGGGTGAGAGAGAGAGAGAGCCTCTTAATCCAAATCTGTCTCCATGGAAACACTCATCAAACTGTCCAACTGATTTTTCCAGTGGTGTTTTATAATTATTGTCCAGTTTAGTCAGTGTAATAATGATAATCTAAATAATAACGATAATTGAATAATCTGATGTTGATTGAATTAAGCATAATGTTGTAACCATGCACATTTACTTCAGTACTGTAGTTAAGTTTTGAGGCACTTGTATTTACCATTTTGTGCTGCTTTATACTCCACTACATTTCAGTGGGAAGTATTGTACTTTTTAATTTACAATATTTGTCTAACAGCTGGAGTTAATAGTTTTCGAGGCCCAAAGAGGTCAAATTAAACAAAATTAGAGGCATTATAGAGAAAAATCATCTCACAACCCTTTAGATTTATCTTGTGACCCTTTGGAGGGACCCGAGCCGTAGGTTGGTAACCACTGGACTAAACTACCAAACTCTATACAAAGTAATTAAGAGTAGCTACAAATGCATCAGTATTTAGTGTCTAATATCATATATAACAATATGTCAGGTACAATTTTGCTACCAATAAATACACTTAGTACTTCTGCACTTTTACTGAGGTAAAATTTTGAATGCAACTTATAATAATATATTACTTATAATTGAGTACTATCACATTATTCGATTGGTACTTTTAATTAAAAGAATTAAATCTTTTGTTGTTGATTCTGGCGCCCCCTGTGGACAAAAGCGATAGTGTTTCCCTTCGTTTTAATTGATTTCAAGGGGAAGCCGACCTGATGGCAGATCTTGTGTGCTTATGTAGCTTATATATAGGCGTCAGTATTAAATTGAGACTGTTTCATAACCAGTGAAAAACACGTAGTAGGTTTAAATATGTAAATAAAAAGTATATAAATAGTGTCTGAATATCATTAAGTAAGATCAGTTTTAATATTGCTTTAGTTAAACAGCCCAGCTGATATTAAGGAGGATCTAAGTTATCTATTTTTCATCCGTTTGTCCTGGACCAGCCGAATAAAGTGACTTAAATCTCATTACAACCTGTTTCTCTACTGCCCACTTTCAGGTTTATTGGATCGGACCAGTGCTCGGTGCTATACTGGCTGGAGTGTCCCACGAGTTCTTCTTTGCACGCAGTGCGTCTCGCCAGAAGCTGGTGGCGTGTCTGACCTGTAAGGATATTGAGATTGTGGAAACGACCAGCATGACCGGATCGTCACTGTCCACAGTCACACAAAACGCCATGAGAGCCAAGCAGGCCAACAAACAAGAAAACAACTGAGGACACATGCATGAAAAAATACACACAGAAATACATCTTGTAATATTTCAGTGATTTCTATGGAGATGTGTAGTGTGCAGTTCATCAGTCGTGTTAATCGGTCTTGACTGTGAGGGAAACCACAAAAAAAAATGGAGTAGCTGTGCATTAAGATTAACTTCTCACATGTGAGTCCATTCAACATGAATTACATGTGGCTTGATATAGAAAATGATACAGTAGCTGCCAATGGGGAGGGAGGAAGAAAATGCACCTTATGAACAATACCAATCCAGTGATCCAGTGAAGAATCCTCAACTTAAGTGAAAGTAGTAACGCCTCAAGCGAAAATTTGTAGTTTAGGCGGTAAAACAATATAATAATTATTGTAAGATCACCAGTTACTCCTCCTCGTTGAAGTGTCCTTGAGCAAGATGCTGAAACCCAAAATGTATCCTAACGTCATTAATCTGTAGTTTATTTAGTCAATTAATCATTGACGCCAGTTATATAATTTCCCAGAGCCAAAGATAGAACCTTTTTTCAGATGTCTTGTTTTACCAAACCAACACTCAAAGATATATCTGTTTCTGATGATTAAAAAAAAACCCAGAAACATTTGAGAAGCTGGAACTTTTGGCATTTTTGCTTGAACAATAACTCACACAATTGATCGATTATCAAATAGTTGCAGATTATCGATTAATTGCTACATAAATGTACATTGCCTTGGACAAAAGAGTCTGGCAAATGATTGTTGAGTACAACATTTCTCCATTACAAGTAGAAATCCTGAATTATGTTTAAAAACACACCAGTGAAGAATGGTGCCACTTATTGAACACTAAGTTAATGAGCAGTAAACAATTTAAAATAAGACTAACTGTCTGAACAACAGTCTCTGTATCCACGGTTGACATTTAAGGGATGATGATACATGCTAAAATAGTGTAAAAGTAGCACAAGTAGTGATGAGTAAAGAAAATCCGCAATATCAGTTTAAGAAAGATATCTATCTAAAGTTTGCCAATGTTAGTGTCAGTGGCTGTAAGCTGCTATTCATACCAGACTAAGGGAGGCTGTCAATGTGTTTAGTTGAGTGAGGGTCTGTTTTATTGCTCACGAAAGAGTAAGAATGTGTTATTTCCTTTCTCAGAGTCACAGTCTCGCTCACATTCATCATGTGTCAGCAGGAGACCACAGTAAATGTAAAACTCACAGGGGAAGGTTGCTTTCAGTTCCTGATATATTTTAGTGAGTTTTCCTTTTTCAGTGTCCTTCCATTGAAACATTCCCAGCTTATTTTACAAATTGTGGCTAAAATGAGTCACTGCTTGTTGCTTTTTTGTTGCCCATGTGGAGAATAATTACTGTGGAAGCTGCATTTTAAAGGCTGAATGTGACCTTTAAGGTCCTAGTTGGTTGTCATTAGTGTACGTAAAGGTGTAGCCAATACTGTGAGATTCAGTATTGTTACTTTCACATTTGCACATCATTAGAATTTGTAATGGAGACTCATTGAAATCCTGCTGAAAAACACCCTTATGTTCGCCATTTTCAGTTGCATCCCTTATCTGTGAATGCTTTGAAATGCTAAAGAGGTCCTTGCCCCGCACTGTGGGTTCAATGATGCTCTCAATCAGTCCAACATCTCTCTTATGTCTGTCCCTGTTAGCGTCCGTCTCTTCCCCCGAGACCTCCTATTCACAATTAAATGGACCTTCATGCCTCTGTAATGGCTCTACAGAAAGAACACCTTCAGTGGAAATAAGCTTTGTATTTTAAAATGGATACAATGAGCATACGTGTGTGTGTGTGTGTGTGTGTGTGTGTGTGTGTGTGTGTGTGTGTGTGTGTGTGTGTGTACATGCTTGTTTGGGTGTATACTTTTTGCTTTTATAAAACCTTTATTCATATTTGTGTGTTTTTGTCTTGAAATATGTTTTGCATGTAATTTAAAGGGTCACTTCACACATTTCACATTTTCTCATGAGAACATATGTTTAGTTTTTTGTTTTTATTTGAATGAACTTACCCTTTAAACTCAATATTTGATATAATAAACTGTATATTTATTATGTATTCATATGAATAATTGAGGTAAAACATACTGTAAATTGTATTTCAATGTATTTAAGTCTAAAATAAAACCATCAATATCACTATAGCAGTGTAATTTAAATACACACATGCACGGTGCACACACACTCATACATAAACTACTTACACACACACGCAAACGTGCACAATAGCTATAACTGCCACGGGGCCGCCAGCATTTTGCATTGTGTGTGTTCTTTCTAACATGTATAAAAGGGAGTTAAAAGGGCAAACTCAGCATTCTGCATTCATCACCCCCCCACCCTCACCCCCTCACTCCCTCTCACCCCCCCAACAGTGATGGCTCTCGACTGGTCAGCGCGATGCCCCGGTGCGGCTCCCCGCCGTCCCCCCACATCCCTGCTGCCCTACTGCACCTCTCCCTTTTCCACCAGCTACACACACAGAACTTTCAGGGCTTTGGTCGTACATCCTCCTGCAACACACACAGACAAACACACACAAACACACACACACACACACACACACACACACACTCTCACATAATGCAAACCTCTGCCGAGCACCTCCTAGAAACCCCTGTCACAACAGAAGACACAATCCACTGTGAATTATTGTTGGTTCGTTGCTTGTGGCTCCATGTTTTCCCTCTCCATTGTTGTTTTTCTACCATGCGCAATTTTTCGTCACCTTCTGGTGTCTCCATTGGTGTCGGCTGTGGAGCCGTGCCAGCGACGGCTCTGAGCTCTGAGGCAATGTCAAGTTCATAATCACAGGCCTCTGTGTGCAATGACTGCTGCAAGATACTCATATTCTTTTCCCCCTCTTAATGATTCCTGAATGTCATCGACAGTGACTGGCGGTGTAATTATCTCCAGAAAGATAAACAGAAGCGATACACGTGATTACAAACTTTAGCTGTAGCTTTAGCATTTAGCATTGCAAATTCAAGACGAGGCTTTGTTAGCTTGTTACGTCTGTGCTTTAGCCTAATATGTATTTTTGTCTTGTCTCTGTCCACATGCTTGTTACAGACAATGGTTTCACAGGGTCAGGCATTTCAGTGTATGGGTCAGTTCAGCGCTGTTAGCTTTGGGCACTTCCGTCCGGGGCCCCAACTGTATTATGTGCATGTGTGTATACGTGTATGTGTGTATACGTGTGTGTATGTGTGTGTGTGCATGTGTGTTTTCTGTTCTTGTCCATCAGCATTTGCATCCCATGATTATGACAGTTATGATATGTCAACAGATGACATATGCCCCAAAGAAAACTTTCTCCTCTCGGCTCCAGCTGCTCTTCGCCGTGGTTGTTCCTCCTCATTTCCCACTCAACCTGAATATAAGATACAATACTTCCTTTTGCTTCTTCAACCAAAATCTCTCTACCCTCCCCCCAATAAATGTTTCTCATTCTCGCTTTATCTTTTTCTCTTCTCGGATATACACCGCCTCTCTTTTGGCCTCCGTCTGTTATGGGGGGGCGACAGAGGGGTTAAGTTTGTTTGATTTAGGATGTCCAGCACTGCCGCCCCCCGCCCTTGGCCCTACAGGGGGATTATGGCGTCACCTGGGGCCCCTGGGGGGGTGTTATAAAGCCCCTGTCTGGCCCTCTCCCCTCCGTCAGAGAGGCTAAAAGGTCCACCGGACACTCTGTCTATCCCCGTCTCTACTTTAGAAACACCCCTTTAGCATTGATGCCCACCTCCTCTTGACAACTCATCCCACCTGAGATCTCCACCCACACTCCCACATTATCTCATACCTATGTCTTTGCGACAAGTGGACAGAGGTGGCAAGCGAGCGCAGCTGAGTTGACTTTACCAACCCAGTTCACGGCTTGGTAAAGATCCGTTGAGTGGATTCGTCTGTTGACGTTCTGAAATCCTGTTTTGTCTTTGAACTGACTCTCTGAGTGTTTTTGGTCAGCCGAGTTAGCTGACTACAAAAGGGAGATCTTTCTTTTGTTATTTTTGGCATTTAAAAGAGGACCGAAAAGGTACACATTTACCTTTTCTAGACCTGATTTATTTTTTAAAGAACCTTCTTCATCTGGTGGAGAGCCTCAAGTGAACAGTCACCATGTGGGAGTTCCGGTCCATGAATTTTTGGCGGGCTGTCTTCGCAGAGTTCTTCGGGACCATGTTCTTCGTATTTTTCGGCATGGGTGCTGCCCTGCGCTGGACCTCTGGGCCCCATCATGTCCTTCATGTGGCCCTGTGCTTTGGGCTAGCAGCTGCCACCCTCATCCAGTCCATTGGCCACATCAGTGGCGGCCACATTAACCCTGCCGTCACCTTTGCTTACCTTGTTGGCTCACAGATGTCTCTTTTCCGCGCCATTTTCTACATAGCCGCCCAGTGCCTGGGTGCTGTAGCTGGGGCTGCTGTGCTGTACGGGGTCACACCCGGCAACATGAGAGGCAACATGGCGATGAACACGGTAAGGACCCAGTATGGATGTTTAAGAAGATAGCAACGTTGAGGTGAGGTAGGAGTTTCTGGATAGGTTGATTTCATCCATGGCAGATTTATTGTAGAGTTTAGGTGTGGATGGATTCCACTAGTTGGATAAGTTCAGTTTCAGTTCAGTTAAGTATATTTTGTAAGTCCAACCAGACTATTTAAACAATGCTTTAAAATACCTGAAAAACCAAATGCTGTGTGTATAATTATTTCCATTAATTCGTAAATGTTCTGAATTGAAAAAGAAATTCTGTGGCATATGTTCTATACAGTCTCTGAAACCATGATTTCTTTTACTTATGCAACTATATTTTTGTCCATCTGTGTATCTGCAGCTGCAGCCTGGCATCAGCCTGGGAATGGCCACCACTGTGGAGGTTTTCCTCACCATGCAGCTCGTTGTGTGCATTTTCGCCGTGACTGATGAGAGGAGAAACGGACGCCTGGGATCTGCTGCTCTATCCATCGGCTTCTCCGTCACCATTGGACATCTCATGGGGGTGAGACGCATGGACACACACACTCTATATAATAATTAAATATTTCACAACACAATGCAGTAACAAGTGTCCTGTGTTTTAGATGTACTACACCGGTGCTGGAATGAACCCTGCTAGGTCCTTCGCCCCTGCTGTGCTGTTCAGGAACTTCATCAACCACTGGGTAAGACCTGCAATCACACTGAAGATATCAACCTCAGCAGGATTTATAAATGAGTGAACACTGTGTTAAAATGTTAAAATTTATGTTTGCCACCTGCAGGTGTACTGGGTCGGGCCTATGATAGGAGGTGCCATGGGTGCCCTTCTGTACGATTTCATGCTGTTCCCACGCATGAGAGGTCTGTCCGAGCGCCTGGCCACACTGAAGGGCAGCCGGCCCCCCGAGAGCGAGACCCAGCAGGACACCCGCGGGGAGCCCATCGAGCTCAAGACGCAAGCCCTATAAACCTGTTCCTGCCCCCTTCTCCGACTGGGGCCGAGGGATGAGGGACAAGGCCCTGAGTTACGCCAACCCCATCTCCACTGACCCCCCATGCCTTAACACAACATCGCACAACACTAACCCAAATACTCACATCTAGACTAACACATGATAAGATTATTCCAGCTGCCACTGTAAAAACCGACACACAAACAGGTTCACAACCTCCAACCTCAACACACAACAAGACTCCTCTACCCCCTGGTCCTCACTCTGTATTCTGAACTGGACATTGTGTTATTGATAAATGGTGACCAGAGCCTGAACCCGGAAGCTGCCTCGTCTCCTCACGCCCGCCTGCTTCCTCCTCCCAGCCAGGCCTTCATCTGCGACTCAGAGGAGCGTGGAAAAACCTGAAACTGAGAGGTTTGGGGAGGCGGGTGTTGGAGAATGAAGGCAGGATAAGGGTGAGGCGGGGATGTGGGTATGATATGAGTAGGGTAATAGGGCATGGGGAAGGTGAGGGTGGAGTAAAGGGGTGGGGGTTGGGGTTTGGGTAGGGGTAGAGAGGGCGACACTCTGGGTTTGTGGTCGTTTCAAGTTGGGTTAGACCAGTGAAGATGGGCATGCTTTTCATTATTCATCTGAATTTATCTCCATTTTATTTTATTTTTTTTAAGGTTCATTTTGTTTTCTGCACTTCAGACACAAGATGTGGATGTATGATACCATTAGATTTTACCAGGGTTTCACTATTTTCAATCACTACATTTTATCTGTGGGTTTGTGTTTGTGTGTGTGTGGATACTACTGCAGTACGTGTGTGTGCAAGTGTGTGCGTGAGAGTGCGTGTGTGCATGTGTGCGCCTGCCTGTGCGTATGAGTGTGTTTGCAAGTGAGTGTGTATATGTGTATGTGTGTGATCAAGATTGCAGATACAGTACTTTTTATTTTGTTTTATTTTCATTACCGCTCTCCTGTTTCGTACCATGAACTGTGTTCATTTTGTCATCAATTTTTAAGACATGATCATTTCTCCTCCCCTCACTGTGGTATTTGCTATGATATTCATTTTTACATAAACCATCTGCTTTTTTGTTCTGAACCAGCGCAATCCAAAGGAAATGTTGTATCCCAGACTTTGATAGTAGGTCTGTTCACTGCAGATCGGCTGTGCAAGCTTTACATTGAGTCTCCTTTTATTATTTGATCCTTACTGGGAGCACAAGGCGTTTCAATAAACATTTCAATGATAATAAACATAAAAACTTGATACAAGGTTTGGGTCATTTTTGTTTCTTTAAATGTTCTACTTTGTTGAGGCGCTGACAATGGAGGAAAGTGTGAGCTGCAATGAATTAATTTGGCCAGAAGAGGGCGATAAGAACACATCTCAGACTCACACATTAATAATTTAGATTAGTTGAGGGAACCTTGAATGATATTTGGAGAAAAGTGAACCATAAAAAGCAAAATTTCACAGTGGTCAGTGGGCTTTAAGAAAAACAAAGCTGTTATAGGTCACAATAGTTTGAGGTATGTAAGGGAGGTGTAGTTAAGGGAGGGGTTGTTTGCGTAAGACAGGGTTCACCCATAGGCGGACTTTTGTTGGTGAAGAAGATTAGGTTAAAACTGACTCATTCATTTTATCTTTCACTGTCTTCTGCTGTTGTGCATCACAGCTGATAAACTGCAGAACGACTCCACCTCCAGAGCCCTGACAAAATAAAGTCTGGTGATAGTCTGACATTTTTCTTATATTGTAAACAAATACCCACGAAAAGATCAAAACAACCATTAATTCATTGGGGATCAAGTGTTGTCTGTCTAGCCAAAGCCTGATATCTTATTCCTCTGTGCTACAAACCTCCATTGTTGTATAAAACAATCATCAATGAGCCACATAGTTGTACTGGGTGACATGTCCCTTCATTATGATAAACCTGGGTAGATCCCACAAACACCGCCCTGCTGCTCTAATTAAGGAGGGCAATCTCAGTTTTCAGCTGAAAATAGCCCCCAACAAATACAATATTTACTCCCGTTTGAGAAAAGTTTTCTAGAAACTACAATGCCCGGCTGTTTTAGGATATTATTTAACCTTCAAAAAAATAATAAGAAAAGAAACAAAGTTTTTTAACTGTTTTAAAAGATATATATTTAAAATAGGAATCAATTGGCTTCAGGGCTGAAAGCCACAGACAATCAGGTGAAGTTAGAATAAGAGTTTTGGTTGACAATAACAAAAATATAGAATATTATCAGCCTTATCCCCCAGGAGGGAAAGAGGTGTAGCAGAAACTGATGCAGTCACATTACTGACTACAAGCCCAAATGTACAGTATATAACCTAAAACTACGAAACAATTAAAACATTAGCACAAAGTCGATTTCTATTGGACTTATTTAAAAGTAAAATTTTAAAAATTGGGAAATACGCATATTCACTTGAGAGTTAGATGAGGTGATTGATAACGGTAATATTTATACAGTTAATATAAAGCAACAGCCAGCAGCTGATTAGCTTAGCTTAGCATAAAGACTGGATTCAGGGGGAAACAGCTAGCCTAGGTCTGTCCAAACTAAACAAAATCTACCTACCATGGACCTCTAAAGCACACTAATTAACATGTTACTGTACATCTTGTTTGTTTAATCTGTACAAAAGTGTATTATATTTGCTGTTTTATTGTACAAGACTAATATTTGTCCAGGAAGCTGTTGCCAGGTAACCAGCGGCGAGTTTCCAAGAAATTGTCCAGAGCCAAAATGTACCAGTCTATCATTAAAATGTCTGTGACTTGTATGACCTATGTGTGACTCTCAGGCTCCTGATAGTGTCATGCAGCAGCTGTTTACCTCCTTAAACCACAATAACTGTAATTCGACCACACTTCTGAGAAATATTCATTTTATTTTGCATATTTGTTGTAAATGTGATGTATGGCTTGGTTTACGACTACTAAGGTGGTGCCACAGCACCGTGAGACTCCAGTTTCACCACTTAAGCATCAGTCTGTATTCTGCAGCTGGGAAAAAGAAAAACAAAGAAACAACTCTGACCAGTACAATGGGCTGGAAAAGGAGCTCGGTGCTGACACTGGCGTATACTGCATCGCTCTATTTCTCTCTCACTCACACACACAGAAACAGACAGCTAATACACTCACACATATTCAGTAACAACATACATCTTGACACCTACATCCAAACACATTTACTTGATATGTATCGACAACTTTGTAATTTATAATAAAACCAAACACTCCTCAAAGACCAAATCCAGAGACACCAATAGTTACAGGCCTAAGTTTCTTGTGAGGACTACGTCTGCAACTAATTATTATTTTCATATGTAATCTGTTGATTATTTTCTTGATTAATCGATTAGTTGTTCGGTGTACAAAATGGCAGAAAATGGTGAAAAATGTGGTTCCCAAAGCCCTCAAATGTCCTGTTTTGTCCACAACCCGAAGATATTCAGTTTACTGTCATACAGGATTTAAGAAACCAGAAAATATTCACATTTAAGAAGCTGGAATCAGAGCATTTGGACTTTTTTTCTTTAAAAAAATGCTCAAATTGATTATAAAATAGTCATCATTAATTTAACAGTTGAAAACTAATCGATTAATTGTTGCAGCTTTTGTGATGACTATTGTGTTTTAAGTGTTAACAAAGTCTTTCTCTGAGAAATGTCCTAGCAGTAGCATTACACAAACAAAATACCAGTGTTGTCTACCTTATTCATGCTCATCCTTTATCATCATAATTGCATATTCTGTTAAACTGTGATTATCACCGTGTAATGACTTGGCAGCGGTAGATAAAAGGAACAAAAGGGAATACAAAGAACATTTTGTTCACTGGAGATGAAAGACTAATAAAAAATGACAAACACAAACTGAACCAGGTACAGAGAGAGAGAGAGATCTCTAAGGCCATAGACAGAAAGGTAACCTTGAAGAGGAGGTAATTGGACCTGCGTTTCTGAAAGAGGAACTGGCTCTCAGCTTGGCTAATATCCAGCATTCAACTCAGTACCTTTGGAGAAACTGCAGCCGCAGCATCATGTCAAACAGACATATTTCTCATTGTCTTTACCCATCCGCTCTCCAGCAGTCAGCCTGCCTCCAACCTCAGCGCTGAGGGTCACGGGTAAAAGAGAAACGTCCAGAAGATTACCAGTCGTCTCATTCCAGTCCCAAACGTCTTATGAAAAACATTCAGATCGTATGCTGATGACGGTAGCAATAGAACATTTTATTAACTATTACAACAATAATATATATATATAAAAACAGGAATGAGAGTGGTTACTTTAAGCCCTTTTGATTACATCACACTCTCTTCCTGGTTATCCAGTCTCATCCTGACGATGTCACAGGTCAACAGTCTTGCTGTTTTGAATCATCAGCTCAGCAGCTCCAGCTCCACCCGGAGCTGCTCACTGCATGCGGTCGGGCTGGTGCAGAGGGTAGTGGAGGAAGGCCTGCGGGGCGGCAGACATGGTGGTGAGTGCAGCCAGAGGAGGATGGATGGCAGCCGGAGGGGTCGGGGATGCAGTGAGAGCGGGCGCAGGAGTCCCGGGCGAGAAGCTGTAGCTGAGGTAGCCAGCGGAGGGCGACGGTGAAGGGGTGTAGGGGTACTGCTCCAGTCCTGTGGGGGCGTAGTGGCTGTAGGCAGAGCTGTAGTCCAGGTAAGGGGAGGTGAGTGCTGCTGCTGTGGGGCTGAGCTGGGACTGCAGCACCAGGCTGGGCTGGAGGAACGCCTGGGGGTAGACGTACTGCTGGGCGAGCCTGTACGGACAGAGGAACAAGAGTTTGGACTGGAGACTTAATGATCAATTAACTGATGAGTTGAGCAACAACAATTTCATTTATGCAGCTAAAATACCAAATATGTTCTTGTTCCAGCTTCTCAAATGTGATTTTGCTGGTTTATGATGATTGGACGAAACAAGCAATTTATATATGCCAACTTTATCAACTGAACTACCATAGTAATCGCTTATTATAATGACTTCTGGGTGCTTTTCACGCCATTATTTGGACAGTGTAACTGGAATCAAACCTCTGGCTGCTGTAGTAAGGACTCACCCATACATGGACCACAAGTTCTACCAGTTGAGCTACCAGAGTGCTCCCCCAACAGCGCGCACACACACACACACACACACACACACACACACACACACACACACACACACACACACACACACACACACACACAAACCTGGGAAGAAGCATTCTTCTGTGTGTTTATATATAAATATAAGTTCTAACCGCTTTCTCTCTCATCTTGTAGTATTGTTATTTCTATATCTTTAAATGTCTTGGCACCTGGAGATGCAACTACAGTTTTGTTGTTTATGATGACAATAAAGCTCTCTTTATTTATTTGTATGATCATCATCAACCTCATGGTTTTTTGGTATATATGACTTCCTTTTCTAAATCATGTTCTTTATATAGGATATTTAGCTGGTACACCACAGTGTAAGCCTACGAGCTCTTAACCTTTTCTGTCACATATGTTGAGAGGCTACTTTTCTTTTTCTTGGCCTGTTTTTAAGCTGTTTGTTTTATATGTGTAAAAGAGTGTGAAGCTAAGCCCCAAGAACAAAAGAAGTGTGATACATGAGAGCCCTTAAAATAGAAAATTACACACAGGCTTAAACCTCATCCGTATCTGCATCCAAATATCTGATGACAACATCAGCAAAATCTGATTAATGTGTGTTCAGAGCTGTCACTTTAGGTACCTCTGAGAGACCTGATCTCATTATTAAGTGTCGTATAAACAAAAACAGTAACCAGAGACAGACACTCACAGTCAACACAAACAGGCAGCAGTTTCTTCAGTAACTGCTTCTTTTCTTTACATCCCAACATTAACATTATAGTCCTATAAAAGCATCCTCCTCCTCCTTTAAGAGCAATTATCGGCACTGTTGCCTTAAAATAGACCTTCTCCCTCGTGCTTTAGTCTAATTAGCACACTGCCTGAGAAATGTTCAAAAAGAAACGCTTTGTTCTAAATGAGATATCAGCCTTTTAAAAATGAAACGCTAAATAACAAAATTACTTTTAATCACAATTGCTTTTATTTCTGAAATGAATAATAATAATAAAACGTGCACACACACACACACACACACACACACACACACACAACCTGCCACAACAAAGGCAGTGTTTGAGGCTGTTGATACTCCAAGCCACAGCAATAATGAGAAAAAAAAGTGCTCTACTGTCCTCCTGTATTCAGTCATGCCCTTGCCTGAGGCTGCCCACTTAACCTGAACTGCCTCAGTTACATCTGGCAACAGCAACAGCGATCATATCACAGGAACTAGGTTATGCTGCTGCGCTTAAGTAAAAACAACACAACATGACAGTATTTAACACTTACACTCCCGCGATCAGTGCCTACAGTCAAACCCATTAACCTGACAGTAACCTTGTCACTGAGTCTGAACAGGTGATCAGGGGGCGGCGAGAGCCGGTCGTTTACCCCTAAACAGAGCGAGAGCAGGGATCAAGTGTGATTACACAACAAACAGGGGGACTGGGCCTGTTCACACCCACTCTGCTGTATACACAACACACAGGCACACACCAACATGTACAACTTGGACCGCGGAGCACATTTCGGGCACATCAGCACCGCATGGAGAATGAATGCATGACACAATTAGCCAATACCTTTTCAGATAGTAGAACAGATTGCTTTCTCATAGGTTGTGGTCACAGAGTACGATATATATGGCGTTGCTCCCGTCCGACCTTACTTAACTCTTGAACGGGGAACCCTAAAGTTTAAAGTTAGAGAAAACGTGCCTGAAAACACAAATTTTTCTATCTGCTTGTTTACAATTACAAACCAAATCACACTTGATTGAAATATTATGTATTTTAAGACAGTGTTTTTATTTTTATTTTAGAGTTACTGTATGACCATGAGAGTGATATCAATCTTCTTCTTGTGCACCGACATTTCTCTGTAATTCTGTCATATTTTGGAAACACTGGATTGGACTAAAATGTAATTCAAGTTCTCAGTAATCAAACAATACGACACAAGTCTTTAATGATTTTTTTCTTTTCAACTTCAAAGCAATAAAGCAATAGCTTATTTATGTTTATATAAATTTAAATAAATAAGAAATAAATTTTATTTTTTGGGTGAAAGTTAGATGAGAAGCTCGACGCATACTCAAGTCTGTATGATCAATATAAGACTATAGACAGCAGCCTGTTAGTTTAGCTTAGCATAAAGAATGGAAACAGGGGGAAACAGCATTATATTTATCAGCAATTTGAGCTTCAGTAGCTTATTTGTTAGGGTCGGACCACACAGGCCAGCCTTCACTCCCCACGTGTATCAATGAGCCTTGTCTGCCTATGACCCTGTCTCCAGTTCACCTTTTTTTCCCACCCTTGGACCACTTTTGATAAGTACTGACCACTGCAGACCGGGAACACCCCACAACAGCTGCAGTTTTGGAGATGCTCTGACCCAGTCGTCTAGCCATCACAATTTGGCCCTTTGTCAAAGTCACTTAAATCCTCACGCTGCCCATTTTCCCTGCTTCGAACGCATCAACTTTGAGGACAACATTTTCACTTGCTGCCTAATGTATCCCACCCACTGACAGGTGCCATAATAATGAGATAATCAGTGTTATTCAAGTCACCTGTCAGTGGTCATTATGTTATGGCTGATCAGTGTAATTAACACGTTTACAAAATCAGTGTGTAAAAGCAATTTTATTCTTTTGTACGGATTAAACAAGACACAAAGTGTTAATTAGTAGAGCTTTATGATGCCGTGCTCTTAGCATGAGAGTATCAATTACTCTGTCCCAGGAAAACAAATAAATGTATTTCTCAAAAACTGAAATAATTCCTTTAAGGAGGAGAGAGGAATGTTTAAGGTTTGCTGCGTGTTCAGCTTAACCTTATTAAAATGGTACATGTCAAGATCTTGTATAACAACCTCAGTTGTTGCTGTGGCAGTGAGAAAATAACTCAGCTTGTTGCTGAGCTTTAACACAATGGTTGAATGGTGCAATTGTTAAGGCTGTCAAAAACCCTGATATGTTCTCTTTTATGAAACAGGAATTCTGACAATGTCTATATATTCTACTGGAAAAAAAAGGTTGCACACCATTCAGACTTTATTTCTTTGAGCAGACATCTGTGCCAGAAACAGATGTTATGCAAGTCAATTAGAAGGACAGTTTGGGATGCTTTTTACTTTTTAAGTGTGACCTTCCAGGTTTTTAAAACAAGATTAAAAGTGACATTTTACCACCATATTGGACTTGTTTAAGCGCAGTGAAATACTGCAATCTAGATTTTAGGACGACCTATAGCCTGAAAACACTACCTGTGTCCCAATTCCACAGTGCTAATTGTACAATCTATGAACTATATACTTATCTTTATAGTACACAGTTTAGTTTCAGAAATGGAGGGGTTACAATGAAGTCAGATGTTCTTCAAAAACCCCTTTTAACAAATAACAAATTATGCTAAAATGTGTTATTATGCTTACCATAATAATGATATTAAAACAAATGCTTTCTTAATTGCTGTATTGTTAATGCACTAACCATAATAGAAACCTCTGATAAATAATGTTGTATTTACATATTTACTATAAGGAGCTTTGTCCTCTAGTGCATTATCTTTGATTGATGCTTGACTCATCTTTTAGGAGAATACAATAAATGTATGTACATTAATGTTAAAAAGGTGAAGTACTTTCAGCCCTGAGTAGCGTCTGCAGTCTTCCTCTCAGGCTACATATGGCCACAACAGTCTTGAAGAAGAAAGGGCATTTTCTATAAGCAGGAAATGATGCAACACATGTGCTGTCGGCCATAAATCAAACTGCAACTTTAGAATCACAGTGTCATCTGCACTCCACAAAGAGAAAGCAAAATGTTTTTCTAAATGTAATACTACTTCTGTCACCACCATTCACAACAGCACACTCAAGAACACTAAAGAAGACTCAAAATAACAAACAAACATAAATGGTTTGTAATGTGGATGCAGCTACCTGAATGATGCTTGATGTATTCTTTTTTTTTACAACAGATTTGCTAAATGAGATTTTCAGAATTCAGTTTATCTGCTTTGGTAGTTTTTAACAGATTTGACTGTCAGCAACATTAACACAATAACACAACGCAAATGTTGCTCAACTATGTTCGGTGCACAGAAATATGTTAACATCGACTTTTTCCAACTGAGCCTTGTCCCACTTTAAACCAAAACATAACAGAAACACAAATTAATTCATCTCTTGTGTGAAATAACCAAAACTGTGGCAGGAGATTGCGTGTTCACATACAACCGCATCAGTCAGAGTAAGAAGCTGATTGAGATCTGGCCAAGAAAGCAGCACCAAAGACGACAAATGCAAAACCTGTGGACTATAATGACACACAACAACACATAAAGTCAAAGCACAGCTGAAGCTAATATCGCCCTGACCCCTCTGTATCTAATCTCTCCTTGCTCGCACTCCGTCAGTCTCTCCCCAAGCAGAAGTGCAGTGTCATTCCCACGGCTGTGTGCCGCTGCCTGCCAGCCTGCCTGTGCACTGGCCTGACTGATCCAATGTGACAGCGGCATCGTACGAGAGGGAGCTGAGCCTAGCCTCTCCTCCCAGTGCTTGGCATCATCGCTGGCTGTCAAACACACATTTATATATATATACATACACACACAAAAACACAGCCACACAGCCACACAGCCACACACACACACACACACACACACAC